GAATGAGTAAAAATAGAGGTTCCAGTTTATTGCTTGTTGTCTTAAAGTTATTTAAGAAATATGTTTTTTTTTGTGATATAATGAATCAGATAGACCCTATATTTATTACCTGAAAGAGAAATTTGATTAAAATTGATTGATTCTATGTTTTTTTTTTGCGTTTTATTCAAGTGCCCGGGGCTACCCGCCCTTTCCCTACTATAAGAGGAAAAATCTTTAATTTTGATTAAAAAATAATTGAGTTAACAATAGGACCGTTGAAATCAATGCCAAAACAGGTATGTTTTCAATATTCTGTTTCGAGTGAAACTGATGGTCTTACAAAAAAGTAAACGAGGGGGAGCTGTGAGAATTGGCCCGAGAAGAGCCTGTTATAACGAGAGGAAACGAGTTTAACAAACTATAAAGATCAACAGCCTGAAAATTGCCTGTTTCCAGATTCGAGGAGGTTACGATCGAGCACTGATTTCTGCGAGTAATTGCCACCGGTAAGTTCAGATAACGTGAATAATCGCCAGGACAAACACCAACACAAGCCAGAGCAATGTCAGATATTGGAAACTGTCTGCTGGCACACGAGGATTCCAGCCTATTGTACACGCATGGACGAGCGAATCGCTGCAGTAACCCAGCATTTTGAGATCCCAAACTCCGTTCGTGAAGGGTACAAATCATCTAGAGCGTAAAGTGTACACATGCTTTCGAGTTACGAAAGCCCATCATATTTACTAGCCTCCTTTTGGGTAGTCTCTAACGCATCGTAACCTTCGTCTTACTCTGAAACGGTATTTGCGAACTTGTTTTCGGTTCAAAGAAAACTCAACCCTTTACGCGTACACCGTTTTAGAAGCAAGACCAATTACCCCGTTTAATAGGATACAATTTTTGTCTGCTTTGTGGCTGATGAATTTCTACTGAGTGTAATTATGGTACAAAATGCATGATTCTATTTGCATAATGAATTTTGTTTGATAAGATTGTATTTTTTTTAAGGGTATCATTGAAATTAGTTAACTTTGATTTTAAGCTCACCCGTTATATGGACAGTAGCCGGGTAATGTGGTGCACACACGGCCATGGATATGTACGTATGTACAGGCGAAATTCAATTCAGTAGTACTCATAGTTTTTCGCGAATATCTCGTAAACTAATGGGATTCGACATACAGCTTATTGTTAGAGGAAAAAAGTTGCTTAAAATGTCGAATTTTACAACATATTTAAAAATCATCGAAATTGGAGGGCAGCGCCTTTTCTACAAGTTCATCAAATTAATTTATTCGAAAGTGAAACACGCATTTTGGAAGTTGATATTACAATTTTTAATTGCTTGTATCTCGAAAACGAAGTTGCAGATTGTGTCAACCTAATGCCGCAGCGCTTATCCATAACTACGGTTCGAACGTAATGAGTAGCCAACACTCCCGCAGTTCAGCCTGCGTTTCACGTGCGCTGAACAGTAAAGCCTCTCACATTGTCCCTTTGTTGTTCTACCCACTTTGTCCACCGGTTTCTTCCTACATCTACTTTTAGTACATCTCATCTGACGGCTATGTTCTCTTCATTAGAGTCAGTCACGCAACACGTGACGCGTGCAAATCTTTTTTTATGAAAGTTCAGTTTATAATAAAGCAATATAACTTTCTTAATTTTACTATTTGTTACCCACAAATTTTTTTAACATATTGTTGAAATTATTTCGGTTGAAATGAGACCAATCATATTTACTTATTTTATGTACAAGGAAACATCCCTTTTTTTCCTCCCTATGTTTGGTCTCATTTTAATCAGAAAAATTGTACCAATATTTTAAAAAAATTTGCACGCAGAAAAATCTAAAAATAAAAAAGTTGTACTGTTGTTTTTCTTATAACATCGTTGTGCATTTGTATTAGCATGCCGATAGGCTGGCATTTAAATCTCTTAGCTGCTATGGCTCTCATGTCATCCTTCTCTTTTATGACTTGGCACTAGAGATCAAAAGCAGCTACGAAACTCGAGAAATAGTGTCTCTTCCACCCGTATTGTCCATTTTCGCTTCCCAGTTTACGGACAAAGTGAGAGGCTTTATTGTAATTGGACAGTGCAGTTAATGGTTAAAATGTAATTTAAGAAATTAGCGATCAAGAAAGGGTAATAGAAACGAATGCCAAAGAAGCTGTTGGTATTCTCGAAAATATAGAATACTAATAATAAAGTATGATAACTGACAGTGTAATGGTTTCGTTGCGATAAAGACGATCGTAACGACACAGGTGCCGTGCATAACCAATTTTTACAATACATATTATATTAACTCACACCATATATTCTCTAATCTAAATATCCTCGTTGCATTTATAAGGTAATTAAGGTTTATTACACAGTTTTCATTGAGAAGCCAAGTAGCAGGCCGTAGAAAACAAGTTTTCCTTTTTTGTCTCTTCTATTTCTTTATATCTCTTTTGCAACATTAACATTATAATCTTATGATTTAGCTTACAAAACGGACCTAAAAGACTATCTTCAATGCTTAATAGTCAAAATTTTCTAATAACGTAATGGCAAGTTATAATCAATATGAATCAAGACTAATCAATAATTTCTCGTAAATTTTGAATAAACGCATATAACATTTTTTCTTCAATGCACATTGCCCAATTATGTTTCATAGAAATCTGCAATACTTTCCTAAAACGATTATTCAATCGCAGTCAAATCCTACAAGTTCTACTCGAATTTCCATAGAGTAGGAATAAGTTAACTCTGTTCTGCACATCGATTCGTCTGTATGTATTTAGGTGAATACTTTAAACGAACGAAACGAAAAGTAACCGAGATCGCAACGCTTTTTAACCCCACAAAAAATTCATGAAATACAAGAAACTTGAAAACAAGTGGTTTATATAGAAAAGAAAGAAAATAATGGATAAGTGGAAGCTTTGTTAGTGGTTTACCTTTATTATGACGTATTTTTAACAGCTTTCGTGGACAGTCTCGTTTGCATAAAAATAACGAACCTGATTAGCATACAGACAGGACGAAATTTTAAAACTTCTTTGTCCCTAAGATCGCACATATCTTCTACTTACTACGTATGCAGATACTAAAGTCACGGATTTTTCAAGAAGAATCCTGGTGTTAAAAAGGATGAAGAAAAGGGTAGATTATCTGTGATGGATAGTATCACCTTTAAGCTTATTCTGTCCGGGAATGAGCGTATCTTAGCCAGAGCGAATGCATCCTGCTATGTCCTTACTTCGCAATTCATAAAATCGTATCTTGATTTCGATATTTTGTCATCTATAAATGCTTAGATTTTGTAAATGCTTAGTATTCAATCACTATCTATATACTAATTTCTACAATACTTTATTTACGGACATACAAGGTCTACCATTTATCTCGTAACCCGTGCGCGCGCGAACTCATGAATGTGGCAACAGCGCTAAATTCGATAGATGCGCCCTCTGTAAACCATTGCTGAAAATATAATGTCATGTAGAGAGCTGCGGGGAGCGATGTAAAAATCCCTAGAGTTAAGTTGGTAATTGACCGAACTCTAGTCCGAGATTCAATTCGGGATGTGAGTATACACGACGAGCAATGGAACTTCGAGTCGGCTCGGCTCGGCAAAACTCGGGTGCGATCGGCAGAGAGCCAAACATACTTATATCCCGAATCGAATCTCGGACCAGAGTATCGTCGATCATGCCAAACGTTGCGCTGTTGCCACATTCATGAGTTCACGCGCGCACAGGTTCCGAGATAAATGGTAGACCCTGTATAGGCTGCGAGCCACTCAGAGGATCTGTATGTTTATTGTTCATCAGAAAATTAAATGGCCTATTATTCTGTTCCTGCAAACAATTAGTTACAACAAATACAATTAGTTAAAGTACAGTATAAATCTGAAGACGATACCGAAATGGTCTTTATACCGCTGCAGATACCGGCTGTCACCAAACATCGTAATGTCTAATTTAAATCATCATGGAAGTTTCAAATATATTTTGATGTTTTGCAGAAGAAGAAGACTGGTTCAAATATATGAGGTGTGATTAAAAAGTTCGCGTAAGTTTTTTTTATTTAAAATCACATTTATTTATTCGTGTAAGGACGAATAAAAAATCCGCGCCACGCCAAATCGATCACTTTTTTCGGCTGTAGTTCCGAATACGACCGGTCGCCGATCAAGATGAAATTTGGAGGGTTGGTTGGGAACAGGTAGACGACCCCAAATATAAAGTGGTATCTTCGGCTTCCAATTAGTTTCCGAGATATTAATTAAAAACTTTCGTACAATACATAGAATTTTTCCTATACAGACGTAACTAACGCAACCGTCTTCGCTGTAGTAAGCTGACATCGTGAAGTGTCGTGACAATGAAGTATCAGACAGTTGTACACTGACAAAATCCATCGAAGTTGTCGCAGTGAAGTTGGCGCACTAACACATTCACGCGGCGTGAATGTGTTTGTGAATGTGTAGCCAACTTCACTGCGACAACTTCGATGGGACTCATTGTCAGTGTAACACTGAGTTGCATTGAACTTGTCGCAGTGAAGTTGGCTAGAAATTCACTAACACATTCACGCCGCGTCGGTGAGCCAATGGCGAGATCGGTTCACCGACCCTGCGGCGTGATTGTGTTAGTGAATTTGTAGCCAACTTCACTGCGACAAGTTCAATGCAACTCAGTGTACATCCTGCACAAAGTATAGTCTAGGTCGCAGAATACGAAAACTTACCTAATAATAGACGGCATTTTCGAAACGATTGCTGTTTCATTTCTTACGTAAATTTATTGAAGATTTTATATAGTACACTATGAAAATGCGGACTTACGCGACGCTGCACTTAATTAACAATAAACAAATGAATAGACCTCAAGAAACGATATAACTTTTATTTCAACTATTTTTTTATATCTTTTGTTGTTTACGATTTATAAGCACGTATATAGAAAGGGCGGTTTGGATAAAAGGGTTGATATCTCCCTCAAAGTGAAAAACGGGCACCATCGAATTACAGTTATCTTCATAAACAGGTCTAATAAATATTTATACAGTTTCATCAAAATCGGAGTGTATCAGTCCCCGATGTTCCCTTGTCAGAAGATAAGCCCCGGCACGGCAAAGAGACGAATTATGCACTTGCAATTGGTAGCAATAGCCAAGCTCTCCAAACTCCCGTATTTCGTGCTGTAACGCAAATTAGTTGATGCGCAGGAATACTTGGAGCGTTGATGTCGCTACGAATACATAGATATACATTATATCTTATATTTACTTCATAATACATATACTTATAAAAACTGTATTTAGGAAAATAATGAAATTTATTGCATTAATACATTATGTAGCCATGATAAATCGGAAAAACAAGGAATCTGTTGGACAGACAAGATTTATTGAATTATATAAGTTATGATAGTAATCAACATTCCTTTTATTTGTTTGTCAGTTGAACACAATGCAAAACAAAATACAAAATAACGATGATACAAACAAAATGTTAATCGATAATGGCAGTATATTTATACCTTCTGTTAGGGTGGTAGACACGCCACATGATCTCTTCGATTTGGCAGGTCGGTATTGCAGTAGTTTTTTCGTTGGACCTGATGGAGCCACTTGCGTATTCTGATACGAATTTGAAAGGACTACTCTCAGCTATCGCACCATATGTTCATCGGAATCATGCATGCAATAGCAATTTGCCTTCCTGAAGGCAACAGCACTTCAAGCATTCTTACGCTCATCTGGCCTGAGACATCACAACGGTACGCCTAGAGAACAAAAGCGATACACTGGCGCGTGTTTAGAATAAGATATACTGCGATTATGATATCCTTCTTTCAACCCAAATGATGGAATTGTCCCGCCCCCGCAAATTCTGACTATTAAACACGTGGACGGACGTAAAGCGCCTGGTGGGTGTAGTCTCTAATCTACTCATTGTCAGCTTAGTTTGTTCGGCCCAATAACAAGATTCCTTACGCCGATGAAGAGTTAAGTGTTGGGTCTTCCGTACCCAATCCAATGATTGACCAAGCCCATGAATACATATGCAATTTATCCATACCTGCTGCCACTTGGAAAGTGGTGGTTGCGGGGGAGTAGATACTTTTTTAGCGCTGTTGCACCCTTTAATACCGCCGCGCCGGTATAAGCAGAAGCTTCGGTACGGCAGAGCAGGTTTATAACACCCCCAAGTCTCTGAAATTGACACATCAAACGCATGGATTTTGTATAGCGCACCATAGCACGCCTCGCTGTTGAAAAATACATGCAAATTTTTTTTTAAAACAGTTATTAACTTCTTTAAATAAATGTTTTCTAATTGATAAAAGTACATTTTTAGAAAGCTATAGTAATTTTGTTTTGCGAAACTATAATGCTAAAAAGTACAGGAGTATTATTTAATACTAGCTGCGTTACCCGGCTCTGCCCGGGAATTTTAATCAACTATTATTATCCCTACTAATATGTATATAAAAGTGAAAGTGTCTGATCGTTTGTTCCTCTTCACGTTTAAATGGCTAAACGAATTTTAATGAAATTTGCACTATTGGACAGCTCATTCTTTCAAGATGGACATAGGGTATGTCATATTACGATCTGTTATGTTTTTGACTAACAAAGAAGCATTAAAGAATTGGTTTGGTAATACTCGGCATTGCCACCAAGAACCCTCAGTATGCTACACTCGTAAAATATAGGAATGATCACGAATTCTCGCGTATTTATACAGATCGCAGCCCGTGATCCCCGCTGCGATTGATGTAGCCAATTAATAGGAAGGTGACGATCATAGGTAGGGAGAGAATCATATTTCGGTAGACTAACAGCAGTGACGGTTGGGGAGTGTTCGACGGTGTTCTCGTAACGTCCCCAACAATTAAAGAGCACTTTCGTAAATTCGCCAACAGTTCATTTTAAATTGAATGTTAAAAATGGAAAACAAATCAGCTAAAACAGACTTTAATACAAACAGAAATACTATTAAATGCAAGGCGCATTTTTTTTTAATGACAAATAATTCTTTGTCATCTAATACAACATGAATAAGAAAACGAATGCCAAAAAAAAAACAAAAAACTGATAAATGTATATTATGAGTGTAGTATACTGATGGAGTCTAGGTTGCAATGCCGAGTACACTGGGTTGCATTGAACTTGTCGCAGTGAAGTTGGCACACTAACACATTCACGCCGAGTCGGTGAGCCGATGGACGAGGTGCCGACGACGCGGTGTGAATGTGTTAGTGAATGTGTAGTCAACTTCACTGCGACAACTTCGATGGGACTCATCGTCAGTGTACATATTATCAAACCAATTCTTTAATGCAATATGACATAGCCTATGTCCATCTTGAAAGAATAAGCTGTCCAACAGTGCAAATTTCATTAAAATCCGTTTAACCGTTTAAACGTGAAAGAGGAACAAACAATCAGCCATTTTCACTTTTATACATTACTAGTTGGGTTACCCGGCGCTGCCCAGATGGTACTTTGTCTGTGAGTGTATGAGAAAAAAAGATGAATGCTGAATGCGGGAAGCAGCACCGACAGCGTCGCCATCCATCCCCACCGCTGAGGTATGAAGGTATTCCCACTACAGTAAAACCTGGATAAATGCAACCAAGATTGGGACCCAGTGGTTGCATTTATCCAAGCGAGGTGTCGAATCTCGGGTTACACGCGACGACCAGCCAAGCGTGAACGTAGAAAGGGACAGACAGTGGCGGAAAGAGAGAGATCCGATGATGAAAGGAAAGAGCCGAAACGTATCGGTGTGACTAATACTAATTCAACTATAAAACTTTTTTATTTTTGACTTTTTTTTATTAAAACTTTTACTAACGCATTGGTGAAATTTTTCTGATTAAAATGGTACCAAACACGATATAGTTTCAATTATAATAACTAGCTAAAATTGATGTTAAAGGTTGGCGAAAAGCAACAGAGATCGAAATCAAAACCAGTCGCGGTGTCGGCTCTGGTTTCAAAGGTTTCATTTATCCAGGCAAGGTGTCGATTCTGGGCATTTAATGTTGCATTTATCCAAGCGAGGTGTCGATTCTGGGCATTTAATGTTGCATTTATCCAAACGAGGTGTCGATTCTGCGTCCGTACACATGTTTTGTATTCAGCCGACGCACAGTGGGGTATTTGCCTCTCAAACGCGGTAAAAAGTCATTTTTAGAAAATTATCTCTAAAGTCAAAAAATACTATGAAAATAGTTAATTGAATATTTGGCACACTATGTAGTATACTTATTTTTCACATTTATTAATTTTCAACGTCGGTACAGAGGTTTAAAGAAGGCAACTCCGAAATTCTTAAAAACTACAACTGTTATTTATGCTTTTAATTCTCACTCAATTTAATTAATCTATGATGGGTTTAAACGTGCCAGGTATGTATTTTAATTGTAGCAAATTTCATTTTGTTATCTTTAATATTTTTGGAATTATACCGTATTGAATATTTTTCATTTTTATTGTTTATTTTGAAAAAAGTCCCGTGGAATCCCGCGTTCTGTTTGGTATTATTTGAAAGAGCAAAGTCTTGCCTTTAAAATAAAAAAGAAGTTAGCTGCTACTAGCTGCTACTCAGGTATCTACAGTGATTTTTACTATTATTGACACCGATGTGAGTCATCGGTCTCAACGCCAAATCGATCACTTTTTGACATCACCATCGGCGATTTTGTTCTAAATGAAATATGTTATAGTCTATATGAAATTAGAAGGGGTTTAAGTCATCATTTTGCCGGTTTCGAATTTGTTTAGTAATTACAGACCTTCGAAGTTTGCAATTTTTGCCCATTTGAACGAAAACGGGCTTCACTTACGAATTTTTTTCTCAGGAACTGTTTGTCGGATTGAGCTAGATTTTTTTTTGTTTTATTCAGAAAGGATTGGGCTATTACAAAATAATTTTTTCAATCTGAATAATTAACTTTATAATTTTTTATAGCTATAACTTTGTTAAAAAAACATCCTAATGCGATAACGTTAGACTTATTAAAAAATAGAAAGTGTAAGCTTTAAAATCATATTTGTTTCATCAAATTTGGATGAAATTTAGCAATGTTATGACAGTGTGAAGATTGAGCAAATTTTAAAGTAGTTTTTACCGCGTTTGAGAGGCAAATACCCCACTGTGCGACGTGCCGATTCTGTGTCCGTACATATGTTTTGTATTCAGCCGACATGCCGATTCTGTGTCCGTCCACATCTTTTGTATTCAGCCGACATCATTTATATTCAGACGTGGTGTCAATTCTGTTGTTTATTCTATTACTATTGTTTATAAATATAATTCAAACTATATCGTGTTTGGTGTCATTTTAATAAGAAAAATCTCACAAATGCATTAGTAAAATTTTCATTAAGAAAAAGTTAAAAATAAAAAAGTTTTATCGTTCAATTAGTATTAGTCACACCGATATTACGGTCGGATCATATTACACGGTTTCCTCGTCGAGCGGCTCGGTTCGCCTAGGGGGATCCCCCCAAGTGGAGGGGATAGCGATGTTGCATTTATCCAAGCATTCTTTCGTTGCATTTATCCAGGTTTTACTGTACTATGTCAACACTGCAGCGGTGGGGATTAGCAGTTCTGCTGAACTGTTCTGCGCTACGATTTACACAATGAAATATAAACAATATTTTATACATTTCCCGATGCAACAGCGTAATAAACCCTTCGCAAGGTTATAAGGAACATATCTAAAAAAATCGGATCAAAATCGAAGCAGTAGATTTGGAGATTATCCTGTACAAAGAAAATGCTTACAGCTTTATATATTAGTATAGATATAGATTTTTTTTTCTTTTTTTTTTAAAACAAAAGGTAGCCTATGCCATTCCTAAGGATGCAATCTACCTCCTTGCCAAGTTTTATCGAAATCTGTTCAGCGGTTTAGGCGTGAAAAGGTAACAAGCAGACAGACAGACAGAGTTACTTTCGCATTTATAATATTAGTATGGAAGTATGGATTCTAAGTGAATGCAAATAATTGAAATAAGTAAATATCTCACATACAACCTATGTAAAAATAAATCATTTTACGAACAAGAAACGCAAAGGCTTGATATCTATTCCAGTTTCGTATTAGAAGGTAGAAAAAATCATACGTGTGTTTTGTGGTTAAGAATAATTTGAATTACTTTCACCGTATTATTTTTTGTTTAGGTGTTTTTTTAGAAAAGGTTAAAGAACCTTTAATAAGTGTGTCGCGAACGTTTTGGCGCTTTTCTGCATGGCTCCTGACCCGTTTTCCGTTCTCTAAACGAACGAGTGGGATGACTTGTTGAGATCGCTTAAATTTTCGGTTGTTTTTTATAGTTCCTATCAAACTTAAAAATAATGTTGGATAGCTGAATTTTTGTCTCGTGTAGAATAATCTTTTACTATGTTGCAACTTTGTGAAATTTGGATCAATCGTTGTGAAATCTGAAATTTTGCTTTAAATTCCTTAGTTTTCCCGTTTTCTTTTTGTTGACCTCGTTTGACTAGTTCTGGATATATTCTAAAAGCTCATAAACAGGAGAGGCTTCCCAAGCGGTCTCGTGTATTTCCTTAGTGAGAGTTTCAACGGAGTTTCCCTCTTTCTATTGAGCCTTTGTGACCTAAAATAAGTGTAAAATAAAATAATTATGAAATAAATACAACAAAATGATGAAAACGGAAAGTTATTGAAATGTAAAACAGGATTGATGTAAATGATATGTAAAAATTAGTGCACAGAACAGGACATCGTTTCTCCCCTCCCCCCCGGGGATAACAACCCTAAACTTGAGTTGGTTGTCACTACTCTCACAAGGGGAACTACCCAAGTGTTACACTCATTTATTAATGAAACTTTGCCAGCTTGTAGAGCTCGTCGAGCTGAACACGCCTATACCCCGTTTTGTGGGCAGACGACTAATTGTTTAAAAGATATTAATAATTAAAGTTAGTTACTACCTACATTGAGAAGTATGACAGACTCACACATACAACTCGCAATCTAGAGATCCACGGTTCAAATCCTTGATTCCCAACATTTTTTTTTTTTTTAATGATAATTTGTCTCTTTTTGAAAAACAGAAAATTTTTTGGTGAACCAAGGATTTGAACCGAGGACCTTCAAATTGAAGGTCACGGATCTGCTCCGTGGTTAAACACATGACTCGTAATCTAAAGGTGCTCGGTACAAATCCTGGGTTACCGTTTTTTTTTTTTTTTTTTTTTTTTTATAATGATAATTTTTAGGTAATAGTTATTCAAAAAGAGACAAATTATCATTAAAGAAAAAGAAAAAAATGTTGGGAACCAAGGATTTGAACCGTGGATCTCTAGATTGCGAATAGTATGTGTGAGTTAGTCATACTTCAGAATGTAAGGAGTAACTAACTGTAATTGTTAATATCTTTTAAACAATTAGCCGTCTGCCCACAAAACGGGGTATAGGCCTGTTCAGCTCGACGAGCTCTACAAGCTGGCAAAGTTTCATTAATAAGTGAGTGTAACACTTGAGTAGTTCTCCTTGTCAGACGCTCCTCTCAGTCACTACTCTCACAATCTCCAGTTAATATTTATTCTTTATCGCAACTTAAATTTAAAAAAAAAATATTGAGCTTGGACGCAAAAACTTTTTGATTCATATAATAATTTTTATCTCGGATAATAATGATTAAGTAAAAAAAAACCATAAACAAAAGAAACGTGTATCATGACAATTTTTTAAACATTATATATTTTTTTAAATTCATTTTAACAATATTTAATTTTTCAATATCTTTTACCGCTTAAATTCGTTTTAATGTAACGAATTCTTCAAGTTCTTAGAGCCTAAATCATTATTGAAGGTTATTAGAAAAAAGATTGGAAGAAATGAAAGGCTGATAAGTTGAACGTTATCGTGTTGCAGAATCACTCCCAACCGAATCGTAGCCGGTTACTATTATATTTCTGATTTCTTATTTTTGTCTTTCTAACAGCTAGCTCAAGTAAACGCTAAAACTGTGACTTTAATAGAGAATGGTCCACCCTAACAGATAATCTCGATGCAACTCTTTTTAGGAAAAATACCTAAAGTAGAGAGAACAACACAGACTTATGCATAAACCTGATGCATAAACTATTCGTGCCCCACTGGGATTGTAAAACTAAAGGACACCTTTCATACTACTATGTTTTGTATATTTCCTGATCCTATCACCTTCTGAGGGCATGTAGATCTCTTAGAAAACAGGAATATACTTGATGTATATTTTAAGGTATTTTCCACTGTTTTATATAATTTTACTTTTTTCATTAGTTATAAAAATAAAGATACTTTATATTCTATTTTATTACTATATATATTTGTATCATGATATTATCAGAATTTAATCAAATACTAAACCATGTATCGAGATATCTAAAATTAACACAATATGTAATTTCTTTTTAAATGATGGTGATTATACATACAATTTTTAAAGGCAATATAACCTATTAGTGCTTGTGACAATTAATCTTTAACGTAATAATTACACGAAATTTTTTGTAAAACATCTTTTACTTGTAAATACAGTAGGCGCTTGCTAATTCCCTACCACACAATTCCCCGTTAACGATACCACGTTTTCATATACGTGTACTCGACTTTCTCGCCTAGATGACTAACAAGTTTATAGCTGTGTCACATAAAAAATGCATAACCAATAAATGTACTTCTACACCTCCGAAGCAAAAGAACTATGGAAGAAACACACATTGATGGTCGATAATTCCTCTTTTCTTACAAATGCCCGCTTCGAGAGCTCGAATGCGTTTATTCTACTACTGATAATAATCTATTTATATTATATTTAATCCTAACGTAAACAAGTAAAAGTATAATTTTCCGTACAGATATTTCATTGCATAGGTAATTAAAACTCAACGAGACACTCATCGAAGATTTAAATGTTGTTAAATAAATATAAAAATAAGATACAAATTTCATGTTTCTATAAATGATTAAAAGTAAGAAGAACAACATTATCAATATCAATTCAATACTAATCCATTACAACTAATCGAAAGTAAGAAGAACAACATTATTTAGTTAATTAATGGACTTCATATTTATTATATTTTTAAAAATTCTATATTCAAGCTAGAATTTTATCCATCATTCGTTCGTCGATAAATATAGGCATTTTTGTTTTCCTAAACTTGAACCCCTTTACCTTAAAAAGGAAGCCTGTCCTAAGGATGTTCGACAACAGGTGGGAGATTTTTCAAGGAGCGATTCTAGAGATCAAAATAAGACGAAAACCGAGAATGGCGAAATAGCATTTGCGGCTTTGTTTTCCAGTAATTAACGTTTAAAAATTTGAGTAAAAAGCGCCTGAAACCTGCAACCTGCCCAGCACCGACGACTGAACGTCAGGTCAGCAGGGGTGGGTACAGTCATAACCAAGAATCATTGAGTAGTAGTAGTAGTAGCTGCAGTACCGAGAAAGAGAATAGCACGAAGTAAGTTTCTACTATTCTTGGGGTAACTCTTGGGGTAAAATGACTTAGTATTTATGCCCTGCGGATCTTGTCCGGTACTTCGTCAGATTCTGCTGAAGGAAACATGTTTTTTTTTAACATGCCGTAGAACATACTTTTTACATAGATTAATACACACACATACACATATATCTATACACGTTACAGTACAAAATTTTGGACTTGGCTCATTGTCAGACATTAATACATTATTGTAGCAAAAACAAATGCTAAATTTATTTTAGTTGAAAAATCATTTACGGTTTCAATTACGATGTTTAAGTTAAAATTTACTCTATTACTAACCAGACAATATTATAATTGCAGGCTTACAATCAAAGCAGGATGTCCGATGAACCTTGAGAACTTCCCGATGGATACACAAAGATGCCCGCTACAATTTGGCAGCTGTACGTTTGCGACCTGAAAACACTTTCAATTAGTGAGGATAATTTTAAACAGTAGTTAAAAATTTCCTCATTTTTCTTTTACATGTAGAATAGAATCTTCTTCTATTTTTTTATACCCCATTTTGTTTCTTTTTGTGTAAGTTTTCAATTTTTTCAGAAAATTTTATGTACAAAAATCGTAGATATTGTTGCGCCGGGGAGTGGTACTCGGAGAACTCGTATTAGAGTTACTCAATAATACAAAAGAGTAGAATGATATGTAGACGAATTTTGTATTTGCCTCGTCTTTCGGTTCGAAATGAATTCGAGCTCGTAATCCAGGTGGCGATGTGTATACAAAACCGTCACTTGTAGTATACAGGGTGTTCGACAACACATGGGAGATTTTTTAAGGGGTAATTCTAGGGATCAACATAAGACGAAAATCAAGAATGACGAAATAACGTTTGCGGCTTTGTTTTCCAGTAATTAACGTTTAAAAATTCGAGTAAAACGCACCTAAAACCTGCAACCTGCCCAGTAACGACGACTGAACGTCTGCAGTACCGAGAAACAGAATAGCACGAGGTACGTTTCTACTATTCAATGATTCTTGGTTATGACTGTACTTTCCCCTACTGACCTGACGTTCAGTCGTCGGTGCTGGGCGGATTACAGGTTTTAGGCGCTTTTTACTCGAATTTTTAAACGTTAATTCCTGGAAAACAAAGCCGCAAACGCTATTTCGTCATTTCTGATTTTCATCTTATTTTGATCCCTGGAATCACCCCTTAAAAATTCACCCACCTGTTATCGAACACACTGTATAAATAGCGAGGGCTCTCGGCAAGGAGAGAGTACTGCGAGCGTGGTATTAAAGGCAAAATCAAAAGGATAGTAAACAGTGTTAATATACTATATCATGCATGCAAAAGCATGGGCGGTTGTGGAAATGGCCAGAGACTCCTGATGTACTAGATTACGAATGGGAAAATGTAGTTTCTCACATTAATGAGACAACCAGATCAAGCAAAACTCGAAACATTAACTCTGTTCCTGAATTAAATTTTATATGAAATTAACTTCTTTTCATTTGTATTGGTCCTGTTACTTGTAATTTTTCATAATTGTTACAAATAAATGGTAACAAAATAAGTATTTTTAGTGTTTTTAGTTTTACTATAAATGGTGAACTACTAACTAACATATGGTCAATTACTAGCTTTCTCGATTTCAAGGATGGTCAACTTCTGATGCAATGATTGAATTTTCAAAAATGTGTATAAAACTTGGATAATATAGCTGTTTCAAAAAAGTTAGCTTTGTTATATAATGTTCGAAGTTCAAACAGCATTTTCACGCATAGAGTCTCTCTATTTAATAAAGGAGCAAGCGTCGACTGTTATTTGCACCAAAAATTTTTCTCAACTGTTCAACAACTGGTGTTTTTACCTTACCATGTATTTTCTATAGGGAATCAAAGTATTTATTTCTAAAACATTGTAAATGTATCAAGTTATTGTCAATGTCAATTATCAATTATATTTTAGAAAGAGATAAAAGATGAAAAAAGGAACTAAAAAGCTCAGCTAGAAAAGAGATAAAACCTAAAGAAAGAATGATGAGCTTCCATTCCTTAGGGACACCCCCGTAATTGCAAGGGAGCATCGAACAAAGGATCGATTTAAATATCCGAAGAGAAACTGTTCGCCAAAAAAGAAGAAAATAACGCTTACAATCAACCCACCAACATATTCAATAGTTTCTATGCTTTGTCCGTGACGAACAGGGTGTTTCACTATGAAATGTCATCAGCTTAACCACATATTCTACAAGAGAGTTTAAGAAACAAAATAAGAATAAATTAGTGTCCTCATGTTTCAAAAGCAGACGGTTATGCACACGTACTGTCTATTATACAAAAGCACAATCACAATATTTTTTTTTTATTTTATAAGAAATATTGGCGATGAGACTACGTATTATACAGGGTGTTCGACAACAAGTGGGAGATTTTTTATGGGGTGATTCTAGAGATCAAAATAAGACGAAAATCAAGAATGACGAAATATCGTTTGCGGCTTTGTTTTCCATTAATTAACGTTTAAAAATTCGAATAAAAAGCGCCTGAAAGCTGAAATCTACCCAGCACCGACGACTGAACGTCAGGTCAGCAGGGGTGGGTACAGTCATAACCAAGAAGAGAAAGCCGAAAACGAGAAACAGAATAGTACGAGGTAAGTTTCTACTATTCAATGATTCTTGGTTATGACTGTACCCACCCCTGCTGACCTGACGTTCAGTCGTCGATGCTGGGCAGGTTGCAGGTTTCAGGCGCTTTTTACTCGAATTTTTAAATGTTAATTACTGAAAAACAAATGATATTGATTTTCGTCTTATTTTGACCCCTAGAATCACCCTTTAAAAAAGCTCCCACCTGTTGTCGAACACTGTATATAGCTATAGAATCTCTTCAGTATCTTTTGAAATTCTTGAAAAAAAGCATTTACCATGAAGAGTTCACCGTACACTTAACAATTCGAAGAAATATTTTCGTGCTACCATTCAAAGGCTCTAAAATGTTTTTTATAGCAACAACAAAATATATACATAAGAATACATAGTTATATACAAAAAGAGAGGGAGTAATGATTCATAACACCGATAAAATGGTTGTCTAATTATAAAGCAAAAGTATCGAGAAAAACGTATTAATAATTTAAGGAATTTAATTTTAAAAAGTTTCTTCATTAGGGTGCCTTTTTTTTATAAATGTAGCATGCGAGCTCTTTTGTTGCAAACTGTATATATTACAACTTCTTTTGTTTAGATTATCTATAAAATACATGCGCTAATAATATGTAAACTTTATCTTTATTCATTTAAATTATTTATTACAAATTAATTCTTACAAACACGTTTTCTCGTTTTCACATTCATTCAAAGACTGATACCTCAGTCACTTCTTTGCTACCATGCAACCCTTTTAACTTACTCCAATCAATGCTTTTTCTAAATTCATGTAATAGATTCATACAGATTAATACTTTACTACATTCATCCATAAATTCCTACTTTACCACAGTCGTTCATCTAATCATTCACATATGTACGTTCATTGTTTCTTTCATTCCTGTCATCATTTGTCTATATTTACTCTTACAAATATTATAAAACAGCACACCCTATATTTGGAAAAGAAATATTCTGTTGATTGCAGTTGGTTACTCGAAGAGGGACGTGATCTACAAGTGGAATAGCGCGAGACAAGTAGCTATCGCCGAGGACATGAAATTATCTCAATTCGATTTAGTTGCCAATCCGACTGCCAATTATTCTGCGTCTCCAACCCTTTCGCACGGTAAGTGAAAGATACCTATGCTTTTCTCAATAATGTACTTTATAATTGTATTCACAGTTTTGTGCATCAAAATAATTTCTAAAACATATGATACCAGTTAAGGAATAAATTAACATATCTGAAATTACCACAAAAGCTATTAAAGATAAAAATATAGTTTAAATTTTAAATTTGCATTTCACAGCATTGGTAAAAGTTCACAAAATGATGGTCTAACAATAACTAGATAAAAGTAGAACGAGAGTCGCTCTAAAGCCAACCCTTGGAACTAAACTAAAACTTTTCATCAATTTATTTTAAAGTGGCAGAAAAAACATGTCAGCCATTCGTTGAGATTTTTACCCACCAAACACAATGGCGCAAGAATTTTTTCGATAACTCTTACTGTTTGACCTGTACATACAAAAGTGACAGAAAATCTAAATGCTTTAACCCCCTTCTCAACATTTTCAATCTTAGATACGGGTTGGCTAATAATGCTGCGAATCTAACATTTTATATTATGCACCAATCAAAAATCTATAATATCAACTTTAATATTACTATAAATTAAAAAAACATTGTAATGATTTAACGTGCTAAAAGAACGGTATGAACTTTTGAGTATCTATCCACGGATGAAAGGATACGTGACTGTATTTATGAGACTACTGCAACGTGTTTCACGAAAAGAAAGTGTCCCTTTTTCATTTGTACTACATTTTCTACAGTATATTTGCAAAAATCAAGGAAAAAGAGGTAGCACTAACAAGAATCTTTGAAATGAAAGAGCATGAATGATCAACGGTTGCTCAAATCAGAGAAACAATGAGAGAATGAAAGGAATGGTTTCCTAACGACTGCAAAGAAACTTGATTCGAAAGTTTTAGCAGCACGGTTACAGATACTCGAGGAATATCGAGAAACGAGGCTGGTCCGGAAGTAGTGGAAGGGATTCGAGCGGCCAGGAAGTGGTGCGAGAAAACGAGGAAGGGAAAGACAAGGTTTCTAACGTTGAAAGATGGCAACGAGAGAAAGGGCGACTAATTGCAGTATTCTCTCTGACGAGAGAACTCGTTCCTCTTGCATTTTCATTCTGCGCTCGAGGAAAGGAAAAGGAAGACCGAAGACGTTCAGTCACGGAAACTGCGACTTTTAATTGGATTAGCATCGATTAATGCTTCGCAAACAAGCGTCTCAACCAACTGTAGAGATTTCCAATCTTTTAACTGTACACTAATTAGAAGTAAACATCTACAGTACTTCATGTAGCAATACAATGCAAGGCTAATCTTTCAGAGAACACTGACACTTTAGACATTTATTTATTCTTGATACTTTAATTATCAAAACTTTCAGCATATTCTTATTCAACTAATAGCGCCCTTTAGAATCCCAATTGATATCGTATGTCAAATTTTGAAATTTCAGTGTACCAGTTAATTTATTAATTGAACCACTTCATTAGTAGAAAAGTATTAGGTACTTATTTACATATTTTTCTTCCATTACGTATAATAAAAAGTTAATAACAAAGAATTAGTTTCTTTTATATGCAACTAGCATCCTCGTCGCGACTTCACTCGCTCTCATAAATAAAAACTTCGAGAATTTGAAGTAATAATTGATGTGGCGAGTAGGTGAGCTCATCTTATAGCCTGAACTCGCCAACTCTCTTGTGTAGGGATCTACTTGTAGCGCGCAGGCGCATGGTCAGGATTACCAACCTACGCTAGAGACTCTCAGAACAAAAAAAGAAGAAAAAAAAATTTAACTAACATTATTTCAGAGAAGTCTAATCGTTTGGTAAAAGTAACGACGTTGTGATACAAGAATAAACGGTGAAATACAAAAGAGTCTGGTATTCTATCTTAACGACGAGAACCTTTCCTCCGGCCTTATAAAATCAGCGAATAAAAGATATAGACGTAGATGTACGCTACACTTGTGGAATGCCGCTCTGGTGCCCCTTGTGGCTCGGGGGGTTTAGAATACGGCCACGGTATCCCCTGCTTGTCGTAAGAGATGACTAAAAGGGGTCACACACACACATACACCGATTCAAACGAAAAAGATGAGAAAAAGTATGAGTAATGAAATTTTAAAAAAATGCGCGGGATTTGGGGTTGGCGGGGCTGTCAACCCATCCCCGAAGGCGCGTGGTCGAAAGCGTTCGTTGGGCAACATGGAGACAGAAAAGTCTCAAAAAATGCCAGCCTTTGGGTGAAATTCGGGGTAAGGGTAAGGGTGGAATGCCGCTCGCCATCTAGTGGGTGATTCTCAAACTACATTCCAGCGGTGCAAGAGCGCGTGCGCGGCTGCAGGCGGTAAGAACGCATGCGCAACGGGGATTCACATATCATAAATCACTTTTTTAATAGTATAACATTTTAATGAAAAATCGGTAGATTTTATTATTGCTAAACCTTTCGGGAACCATGAAGATGATGTAGTTAAAAGTTGGTAGCGATTGGTTCAGTAGTTTTCGCGATTAGCGGTTCCAAACGAAAAAGGGGCTGTCTTTTTATATAGAATATAGTAGGATCTGTGATAAATACGGTGTATTATGTTGTTGCAGATGAAATGACTGATCTACTTACATAATCTTCAACAGTAATAACACCGTTAAAGATAATAATTATTCGAGAACACATATAATACTTCAAAAGATCTATCATTTCAAATTATAGTCGTACATACTGGTTATGATTGTTCATTTGAGTCTATCAATTGGTTCACTTTGAGCACACCTAAGAAACTTGTGCCCCTGAAGTATTTTACTTCCTTACTTTTAAGGCATGAGACTGATTTTCACGGGACACTGATCATACGTAAAACTCTGCTTAAGCGAATCACCATTTTTTGACTACGCAACTTTTTGGTCAGCTATCTCTCTTGAGGGAATACTCGAGCATTTCAGTTCGAGCAAAGAGTCCCGAGGTGCTGATTCTGCATATTTTTTAGTAAGATTGCACTCAGGGCTAATGGCGGCGATCGTTAGACCTGTGTGCAAGTTTACCGCTTCGCTTTGCTTGCCCTAACTTATCTCCTATAGTACATTCGTCTTAAGTACTATGAGAAATTGAAGCTGTTCATCTTAATCTTGATAAAGATTTTAGGAGTTTATCATAAAATGAGGCGAATAGAATCAAAACTTTACATAAAAGTAAATAATTCGTTAGAAATCGTTATTTGACGTATATTATTTATCTTCACAAATGACATAGCTTAGTATTTATCTAACTAGCAGCCATTGTTGAAAATTTGTGTTGAACAATTATCTGAAGTGTCGTCTATTATTTGAGCTAACGTCTAACAACTTGTAAATATGTAGTAGGGGCACAAAACAAATACTACAAACAATGAGGTTGAAATTGTGGAAGGCCGTGATGTAACATCAATTTCATGTTATATAAATGTTGATAGCACGAAAATTGTTGAATTGCTTAAAAGTTGGATGAAAATGTTCGTGGTTTTGAAATTTTAAATGATGATCAAATTATTTCAACATGACACAAAATAAATCCATCACGATAACCCTTTAATTTTCAAATGTATTAATGCATTTTGTTCGATAAATATAGTTACTAAATGGTGGAAAACATAACTAAAATCAAAGATAAACTACTTAAAAGGTTTAAACAGACCGACGTATTTATAAAATCTTTAAATGAACAAAATTAATTTTCATTATATTCAGCACACTAATTGATTACTTAATTAACGAAGTATTGAATCAATTTCATATAGTAAAGAATTTAAAGAGAATAAAAGAATTTGAATAAGTAAAGAATTAATTGATTACGCATTACAGAATTACTGTGCTTGCTAATTAATTTTCCAATTTATGTATTTAAGAGCATCTGTCTTGTGAAACCCTCTTATATGAACACGAATTCTTATTAACTGAATACAAAATCGTAGGTAGTAGAAAAAAAATAGGTAAACATAAAGTAGCCATAAACTAAAAACTTATAGTGCAATAATTTAAACTTAACCCTTTCATAGGTAGAATATTTTGTTTCATACAATTTTTTGTTAATTTATTGATTATCACCTCTCTATTAAATACCAAATCAAGATGAATGTTTACTTTTTCTGAGCTTCTCATATTTTAGCAAAAATTTTATGTGAAACAAATCCCTCCAGTTTGCACAATGCATAATTTTAAACGCTATGTGACCAACAAATACAGGGTGTTCGACAACAGGTGGGCAATATTTTAAGAGGTGATTCTAGGGACCAAAATAAGACGAAAATCAAGAATAACGAAATAGCGTTTACGGCTTTGTTTTCCAGTTATTAACGTTTAAAAATTCAAGTAAAAAGCGCCAGAAACCTGCAATCCGCTCAGCACCGACGACTGCTGTAGTACTGACGATGAGGAACAGAATAGCACGAGGTAAGTTTCTACTATTCAACGATTCTTGGTTATGACTGTACCGACCCCTGCTGACCTGACGTTCGGTCGTCGGTGCTGAGCGGATTGCAGGTTTCTGGCGCTTTTTACTCGAATTTTTAAACGTTAATAACTGGAAAACAAAGCCGTAAACGCTATTTCGTTATTCTTGATTTTCGTCTTATTTTGATCCTTAGAATCACCCCTTAAAATATTGCCCACCTGTTGTCGAACACCCTGTATAACCATTTGAAATACATTCTGATTAACAAATATCATTATACACAATAAAATCATAATTATTGAAAATTGCTTAAATAAATTTCAGACAAAATAATTCTTGTACTGTAAAAATTGTTTGTATAATATAAGTTTTATATGACAACAAGGAAAAATAATTTTCCATGATGTACTAAACATATTGTCTCATTCTAGCGGAGTACTCGATGCTACTGGTATATTTCCATCTGCAAAGGCACATGGGCAATTTTCTTATACAAGTATATGGACCATGCGTTTTACTGGTTGTCCTTTCCTGGGTGTCCTTCTGGTTAAACAGAGAAGCTACTGCGGATCGTGTGTCATTGGGTAAGTTTGCAATTGAAATCAGTTTCATGTATTATTTAACATAATCAGAAAAGCTTATTTTTTAAGATATACAAAAACATTTTAAGTGAATCTGTAATTCATCATAAATCTAGAAATTTGAACATCTGATAATTAGGTATTAACGGTTCACACATTAAAGCTCCGATTTGGTAGGTCAGTATTACAGTAATTTTTTGTTACGAATTTGAAAGGACTATTCTCAGCTATCGTGTCATATGTATGTACAGGGTGATTCTCTCGCTAGTCTCGACGGGGGTGCATACTGCAGCTGTGTGCGTGAAAATATTTGTAACAAAAAGGAAAGTCCCATTTGAACCTTTTCTTCTGTATGTCTTGTGAATATGAAGTTAAGAAATATTATTAAAAGAAAAAGAAATCATTAACACATATTTATTTAGAATATTAAGTTATTTTCTTCGAATTTCCCACAAAATTATAAATATTCATACTACTGTACTTATGATATGATATTTAAAGATGAAAACAGTATGAAGTCTAAAAATAAGCTTCGCGCCCTCTAAAGGTTAAGGACTCATCCCTCGATGTTTTATCGTTTGTTTAACAATATTTTATTAAAGTACATGTTACGTTGCGCGTTGCGCGCTCGCTCTCGCGCAACGTAAAAGGGAAAAAAGAAATATAATTAACTATTATTCCTCTTATTTTTGGGCGATGAGAAAGGTATCGCTGCCACCAGTTCTGACCGCGTATGACGCGGAAGCGTCCTTTACGGTCAGAACAAAATTAAAAGACGGAAAATTTAGATAGTGATTATTTCCGTTGGGTTCGTCAGTGCTCTGGGTCCCATACGGGTCCCTCCTTGAAACCTTGTGTTGGGGTGCGTGGATTTGAAATATAAAATGATAAAGGAAATGATACCAAATGGAATTCGAAAGAAATGTTAATGCAATTTAGTGTGCAAAAAGAAAGTAATTTTAATTCAAAATAATTATTGAAGCTAACAGAAACTGAATTTGAAATAACTATTGTTTGAGTACTAAAATGGTTCTATTTGAATGCTGTTAATTACTATTAAGTGAATTCAATTAATAACAATACTGGTTTTACAAGGGTAAAGATGCTTAACCTATTGCTTGATATTAATATAAATGAAATCGGAAAAGATGTTTAGCCTTTGGTTTACAATGAGACCTTTCAATATAGTATTAACCGGATTTGAAATGTGAAAATTATATATATACTTAATGAGGGACGACTACCTCGACCAAATATAATAGAATCTTGAGGTTTTTGGCGGTATCTATCCGCGAGGTAACGACCTGAACGAAGAGACTCTTACAACCCCCGAAAGGGCTTTACAGGTCGTTCCTAGTAAAGTATCGTAGTCGAAGCAATCGTCACACATAAACTCGCGATGATTCAAAATTCGAAATATTAAGATAGCGAAATTACTATGATCGGTACCTGATGGTGGAAACGTGACGATCTAAAATGAAGGGACTCTTACAACCCCCGAAAGGGCTTAATAGATCGCCCGTTTTGCCTCGTCGAAACTGAATAATAATGCCGTGCTCGACAAATTAGTACTGAACAGGCTTACCGTGAAACTGTAGAATGTAATGTACGATAAAAATCGCTTTGTAGTTCGCTATTTAATCGTTGAAAATCGCTGTTGAATCTGGAACACCAAGAAAGATGATAGACTGGTGCCTCACTAACACTTGTCGCGCACCCGGTCGTCATTTATTGCAAAATTAAATAGACGTGTCACAGGACGATTACAATTTTCGGAATTAGTATCATGATAAACGCGAATGAATTTAATACGAAAATACGCGAACAACGGATTAAAAGAAAGAGAAAAGATAGAGGTTTAATAGTGTGAAATGGCTTTACGTGCGCGTCTCTGAGTTCTTGCCGCGTATTTAGAATTTCACCCTCGCGACACTCTGCCTACGATTAGGACTTGCCGCGCAGCTAAATTACACAAAGTACAACGACAACTCTATCTCTAGACGCACGGGCTCCCGCCACGACTTACTTGATTGTTCGACGAAGAGTGATCAGAATCGATCGCGATCCTAGCCGTAGCAAGGACGATGTCCTGCGTGGGGACATTTCGGCAAATCACAGCGCGTAACGACGACGTCGCGTGCGTTTCTATTGGTCGAGCGCGCGTGCCAGCTAAATTCCTCCAGATCATGCTTTCTCTCTTTCTTGGTGTTCTTTCTCTGTCTAACGGCTTTTCGGTGTTTCTACGCAGTAGAATTTCTGGATTGTTCTATTCTCATCGATAATTCCAATATTAGATTAAAAATGATGCGATTATCAACTAATAGTTTAAATCAGAATTATTGAACAATAAATATGCGGGTAACTATAAACATGAACTATATCTGTTGTACTATTATGTATGAATAATGGACCGGCTATCACGAGGTTCCCTAATTAACAATTGGCTTGTCCATAATCATTTTGTTCGCAGAGAAATTGATCAACAATACCAATTGCGGTGGTAGCGCAAGTTGTTCGTTAAAAATCCTAATAGCATACGATGGTTTAACTGATAATTTCAGTAGTATTCAATTGTTCGATATTCGAATATTAATTCCTGTATTCGCAGCGAACTTTCTTCGAGAACGTTCTTCCTGTTCAAAATCGTACCGTTGGGTCTTAGTTTCAGGTAATTCTTGGAATTCGATACAATGACTTTTATTACCCTGTGTGACCCTTCGTCTCTAAACAGTTCTCGCATGTTGCTAACGTTCGCTGGTGAGGGTTCTCTATCCTTGCCCTTTGCACTCATTCGAATATTTGAATTTCATGCTATTTCATACCTTCATTGCAACACTCAATTCGCACGTACGATCGGGTTTGGGACCGACTGGCGCTTACGCGTGAAAAAGAGGAGAGTATCGGTTAAAAATCTAAAGATAAATTGATCTTTACGCTTTTGCGCAGTTAACCTGCGGAGACCCCTATAATGCGAAGCACTGGCTAACTGCGCAACGAACGCTGTTTACGATACTTCTCCTCGGTCGAAACCGAGTTTTTCTATCCCGAATTCTGTTACTACGCAATTGAGCACGACGATAGCTTCAGGGAGGGGTAATAAACTAAAGAAAAGAATAGAGAAATGAAAGAGAAGCTAAAGGAAAGGAAAGACAAAAATAGAATAATTATAAGCTCAAACTCTTCCCTGTGCATTTCTCACATGGAGAAGACCCTCACAACCCGAAAGCTTGATGAGAAAGCACAGATTCGAAGAGAACATTGAAATAATGTAGAAGTGATTTATCCCCCTCACGCTCCTTACATGAGGAGACCCCTATAACCCGAAGGCTTAATAAGGGAACGTGAGGTGGACAAATTTGTAAAATTTTCCGGACGTGACATACATATTATAATTGAAAAGTGAATCTGTTCTCGTTTGTTTCAGGAATAACAACGGTGTTAACGATGACATTTTTGGGATTGGAAGCACGAACCGATCTGCCGAAAGTTCCTTACCCAACAGCCCTAGATTGCTTCGTTTTTCTCTCGTTTGCCTTTATTTTTGCCACCATTATACAATTCGCGGTGGTTCACTATTTCACAAAATACGGATCTGGAGAATGTTATTTCAGTTCAGATCTGAGCGAAAGCGAAACCTCCAGCGATGAGGAGGAACCAGACACGAAGTCGTTGAAGAGAGAACCGGTAATTTTCGTACTTTTCATACCTTTTGTTCGGCGTATTAAACAAAAACTTACCTATAAACAAAAATATTCAAATAGTTTCAGTACAATCAGGATTGCTTATGTTGCCGCGCGAACTTAACAGTACGCGGTAATTAGTCGTTCGACTACATGCTTCCTCTTTATTGATGGTCACCACCATAAACTGGGATTCTTAGCCAGTCTTGACGTACTTAGCTGCACCACTGTGTCAGTTATATGTAATCATTTTAATTTCGTCAATTTCGTTAAAGACTGATTTTGGAGAATCCCAGTTCATAGTATAAAATTTAAAAGGGATAAGATAAGACATTCTCACCTTTGTTATCATACCACCTCCACCACGTGCCTTTCTACATCGTCTACTTCCCTCTTTCCAAAATTAGTAAAACCAATCAAATCTGATTCCACCCAACTCTCACACCACCCTTGAACATATCTTCCATCAAGCAAAAAAAAAAAACAAGAAATAAAAATCTTTCTATCGAATACACCATATTATCAACATAAATAATAACCATACAGGTTACCTACATACACTTGTACTGTCCGCGCCTGCTAACAATAAGTTGATATTCGGAAGGAATGCACGTTAGCTCACATCTACTTTTCAGTCGTAATATATTATATTATTGGCTGAAGCGATCACAGCTACTAATGAAGCTTGTGTAAAACTAGAGAGCCGTCCGGTGTATGTGGAGGCGGTACGTGCATATCTTGTGTAGGCGTTGAGTGGAGGGGGCGAGAGGGTTTCGTCTCCCCGGACGTCTTGAGTTTGGGCCGGGGACCGCTAGGTGGCGGCGAGAGATGATCGGTGTCCTCTCGCAAGCGCTCGCCCGGCATGCCGTTCAAATATATGTATATATATCGCAGTTCACCAGAGTCCATAACTGCGACGCGCAGGTTGGAAGATGGTGGGGGAACACAGCGAGCTCTCCGTCAATCGCTTTCCACTTCGTTTGGGAGTATCGCCAATCAGGGCGAAGATGCGCACTGGAGAACGAAAACTGGTCTTTTCGCAGTTATGGACTCTGGTGAACTGCGGTATAAGTTCCGAATAGCGGTAGGATAAGTGTCTGGGGTAGGGATCGTCTGTTGTCAGCCTCACTTACGAGTCGGACAGCCGATCTCGAAACGAAACGCCTTTTTCTCCCCTCTCCTACACTTGTAAATTTTGCACAAAATATCCTCCATGAATTTAATTATCTAACAAGGAAGTTAGTTACACAGTCAAAGTTCAGAAATTCAACGACGGCGGTCACTAATAATTGAATTGTTCATTTCAAAAACGGGTCATGTTTATTCTTTTCAAATTGGAGACGACCGCTCTTCAAAATGACCAATTCAATTAAACAGTTTACCACATACTTAAGTACTCTAACAATATGATTTTTTGCATTCTTGGATGCTATAATACTTCGATTAAAGTTCAAAACATTTTTTGCTTTTCCTCTTAATCTAAAAACAAGAAATTAGTCGGTTAATTTAAAACTACTGTTTTATCATGTTCTATAACAAGCAAAAAGAAGAGTCTTTCTTAACTTAATGGTACCACTACTTTTTATATAAAACGTTCACTATTCTAAACAATTTTTATAATGTATTTTCTATACGATCTTATAAAATATAAAACTTTTAATGAAAGTAGAGATATCATTAAGCTACGAAATTTGGTATAAAATGACTACTTTCTAAAAAGTGCCAAACATTATATTAATAATGTCCTATTATTATGTCACTTTTAATTATACTATAAAAATTGAACCAAATTTATTTTCAAAAAAAGAATGTATATTTTTTAACACAGGTTCTATAAATATAAATAGGAATCATTTTATCGTTTTTTATATGGGGTCGATTTTCTTAATTCAATGATATTCCTCCCCTAGGATTTATGATAAAGGTTTGAAACTACATAAAAAGAATATATTGATTAAACGCAGCTATAACTTTAACATGGTAGAAGATTTAAAGAAGCACTGCGAATCAAAAGCTTCGATACAGCTAGTTGTGAAAAGGTTTAAAAGATACCTCTCTGTTTCAGATACCGCAAACTCATAGAAGAACTTCAGAAAACCTAGCCGCCAAAGGACATCCTAGCCGAAATTTCACAATGAACGAAGATGGGATGATCGAAGTGATTCCATTATCTGCGATTCCAGAACCCATCCGGGATCCCGAATTGGGCCACTGGCAAATGCCATGCGTCTGTAGTCCCACTCCTCCTCGCCAGCCTCCTCCGAGTGGCAAAACTTCCGGAAGGAAGCGACGCAAGAGAACACCTAGATATAATTCCGTTTCAAAAATCGATCGGGCTAGTCGTATCGTGTTCCCTATGTTCTTTATGGCAATCAACGTGTTCTATTGGTACGCCTATCTGTCAAGGAGCGAGCGCATTAATTATTATAACGTGAACTCGAACGACACGTGAGAATAGTTACTGTCGAACGAAGCAAAGGCAATCCTGTTCTTGTCACGAAAACTGGATGAAAAATTCATCCCATTGGTCGACGAATCTACAATGCCATAAGCGAGTGTGTAAGAGTAATTATTTCGTTAATCTCGCGTCAGCAAGAGTGTAAGCTAAATGAGAGTCTCGGCGAACAAGGTTTAAAAACAAAAAGTAGGTACTGTCCATAAGCGGTTCAGTTTACTACTTACATCAATCTTCAGTTTCTGTAACATGAACTTTAAAACCGTACAGTTCCCTCCATTTTAACTTCAACGAACAAGTACACACTTAATGGCCCATTTATACAAAACAGAAGCGGTTGCGTATTGTATCCCCAGTACATATCTATTTCCCACATCGGTTTCAAACAAAAGTCAAATGTGCCCGATGACGCCACAGTGTGCCGAACAATGGAAAAAAATCAAAAATTCAAAGTGTAAGATCTACACATCTTTTTGTTTTGAAATGTTAATAATAGAACATAGTTTGTAATTTGACTTATAAATTTAACTAAACATATTAATTTATTATTAAAATTGTGACGTGAAATTTACTGCAATAATCGGTGCATTTTTTCAAACACGTGCCACTTGCAAATCATTTGCTATTTCTATTTAATTTTTACAGCGTTTATTTAGTATCATAAGGCCTTTCGAATGACAAAAAATTCCTTTACAATATTAACAATTTGTCCTAATTTATTATGTTAAATGTTTATCAACTTTGACTTGAGTTTTAAAATAAGTACCAAAAGGTACCTCTGTGAAATTTCCTATTGCACAAAACGGAGAAAATAATGAAAATCCTCGTCAAGACGTTCTGCGTCAAGGCCTTCTCCATAGTCTCTAAATTCTTACCGTGACTATTGCAATTGTGCTGTAAGCATCATATAACATCTAATTAATTTGAAAAATATATTTTTAAAAATTCCAAACGAAAATTAACTACTGATCCTAAACAATATACAATCATACTTAACAATATTTTCAAATTGAGTTTTAAAAGAAAGTACCATTAACGTTGACTTTAAGTACATAAATATGCACAAATGGAAGAAAATAGTTGAAACCATTATTGACGTTCAGATGCCGGTGTCTGGACGTTCGGCGTCCATACCTTTAACGTAGTCTGTCAAGCCCCACTTATATTCTCGCGAAGTGATAAAACACTATATTCGCTGTTTATGTTTCTGTAAATATTCTACCCCTTCTTTTCAATTTTTTATACTGTAGGAAAGAGAAAGGGTGTTTCGTCTCGGGATCGTCTGTCAGACTCGTCCAGTGGGGCTGACAACAGACGATCCCTGCCTCAGACACCAATCGTACCGCTATTCAGAACTTATATGTATACAGGGTGTTCGACAACAGGTGGGCAAAATTTTAAGGGGTGATTCTAGGGATCAAAATAAGACGAAAATCAAGAATAACGAAATAGCGTGTGCGGCTTTGTTTTCTAGTAATTAACGTTTAAAAATTCGAGTAAAAACGCCTGAAACCTGCAATCCGCCCAGCACCGACGACTAAACGTCAGGTCAGCAGGGGAAGGTACAGTCATAACTAAGAAGAGAAAGCCGATTACATAATGCAGTACAGTAAAAGCTGGATACAGTAAAAGCTGGATATATGCAACAAACATTGGGACCCAGACGTTGCATATATCCAGTCGAGGTATCTAATCTCGGGTTACACGCGGCGAGCAGCCAAGCGTGAACGTAGAAAAGGACAGACAGTGGTGGAAAAAGAGAGGTCCGATGATCAAAGGAAAGAGCCGGAATGTATCGGTGTGACTAATACTAATTCAACTATAAAACTTTTTTATTTTTGATTTTTTTTTACTGAAACTTTTACTAACGCATTGGTGACATTTTTCGGATTAAAATGATACCAAACACGATATAGTTTAAATTATAATTACTTGCTAAAATTGGTGTTAAAAGTTGGCGAAAAGCAAAGGAGGATTGGAAATGAAAACCGGTTGCGGTGTCGGCTTGGGTTTCAAACGTTGCATATATCCAGCCGAGGTGTCGATTCTGGGCATTTAAACGTTGCATATATCCCGTCTTGGTGTCGATTCTGCGTCCGTACAAATCGTTTGTACCGTGCCGCGATACCTATTCTACGTTCGTACATAACATGCGACGTGTTGCATGTTGCATGTTGCGTGTTTGATGTATCTTTGGTGTACGGCCTGCCTTATACATATGTACACTGACGTGAGTTGCATTGAACTTGTCGCAGCGAAGTTGGCTACAAATTCACTAACACATTCACGCCGCGTCGGTGAGTCGATCTCGCCCATTGTCTCACCGACGCAGCGTGAATGTGTTAGTGAATTTGTAGCCAACTTCACTACGACCAGTTCAATGCAACTCAGTGTACAGTTTTATTATTATTTTAATAAATAAATATAATTCAAATCATATCGTGTTTGGTACCATTTTAATTAGAAAAATCTCACAAATGCGTTAGTAAAAGTTTCATTAAGAAAAAGTAAAAAATAAAAAAGTTTTATCCTTCAATTAGTATTAGTCACACCGATATTACGGTCGGATCATATTACACGATTTCCTCGCCGAGCGGCTCGGTTCGGCTTAGGGGGATCCCCCCAAGTGGAGGGGATAACGATGTTGCATATATCCAGCCAAACTTTTGTTGCATATACAGTAAAAGCTGGATATATGCAACAAAAGTTTGGTTGGATATATGCAACATCGCTATCCCCTCCACTTGGGGGGATCCCCTAAGCGAACCGAGCCGCTCGACGAGGAAACCGTGTACAGTAAAACCTGGATAAGTGCAACCAAGATTGGGACCCAGTGGTTGCATTTATCCAGGCCCTCCAAACTCCCGTATTTCATGCTGTAACGAAAATTAGTGTTACGCCTCACTACCAGGATCGTTGGTGTCGCTACAAACACATATAAATGATATCGGTGAGGTACACACACAAGCACATGGTCCCTATATACGTGTGCATGGTCTTACTTATTCAAAACGTTGAAAAATAAAAATAAAGGAAAGGAAAAAATTACAACAATATATGTGCAGTAATGGAAATATATTAAATTTTTACTAAAATATAATAAATATATATATATATATATATATATATATATATATATATATATGTCAATAATAATATACAATAACATACAATTGAAAATCACGTTCTCCACTCCCCTGGTGCAGTCAAGTTTAACTATAAGAATAAAATTATATAATATTATACATACACTTCATGTAAGAAGTATTATTATGTATACTTAGTGTATTAATACCATGTTAATGGTTTTATACATATATTGTATATGTAAACTGAATACTTACAATCTTCCTCTTTTTCTTCTTTTCATTTGCATCCAGATGTCTTGTTGCTCTATTTTAATAGAGATAGTCTCTGACACTGTAATAAATATTTTCATTAACAATTATTTACATATGCTATAAAAAGTATACATAAGAGTAATTACCAAGTAAGTTCAGTGTTGGAACTGCTGATGTTAATCTTTTCCTCATGAAGTATTGTTCTTAAAGTAGCTACTACAGATCACCCGGAATTTCAGTTTTCAGGTGAAAGCACTGACTTTGGATTGTCACATACTTCCATCCACTGTGCCATCCTCTTCTTATCCTTCCTCTCTTAGGGGAAGGAGAACATCCTGCTGTTTTCGTTAATGCACCCTCTGATGATGCACATTTTCTTCCTCTTTCCTTAAAGATACATTTTAATAATTAAAATTAAATATATTACTAAAATAGCAATGTAAACAGTTATGTTTTCAGTAACAATTTTTAAAAATTCTGTACTTATTTAATTTCTATCTTCTCCTCCTGTTACTGCATCTCATCAGCAGAAGTTATTGAAAAACCTAAACACTTAGAAAAAACTTTAAAAAATATCTTTTTCAATAATAATAATGGTAAAACTTCGTCTTGGGGGACCAAAAATTAAGGGGTCCTTTTTTTTTTGTTGTTTTTGACCTGAAATTTTAGAAAATACAAGTTAAATGTCCAGGAAACCAATAGTTTAAGAAATACAAGTGTTTAAAAATGTACGTATTTAGTGACATTTCAGAGGTTAGAGTGACGCCATATTGTTTCTACCCATCATCTGATTGGTTCGTTTAAGTGACTAAGTTCAAGTTACCTTATTCGAAAACATACTGCTCCTTGATTGCTGCGATCAAGGAATCCATAAGATGAATTCTGTGAGTTTTGCAGAATTTTCTCCACAAATACTCACACAAGCGATCGGCAAATTCTTCGTCATGGAAGCGGCCTCTTCCGCGCGTCCAATCCTTTGCCGGTCGCCAGTTCGCTTCAATTTGTTGCGTATGAGTTCCATCAGGCGCTGTAATTAAAAGATACACAAAACATTAATTTAATATCACACCAATGTGACCGGCCGCCTTGCGGCGCACAGTGGCGAATTTGCCCGAAATCGTGGACAAAATTAATATCTTAAAATGTGAGGTAAATTAATCAAATAAATTACAATATTATAATTGCGGAAGGATAATAATATACTTTTCTAATGAAAAATATTTTATTTTTATATAGTGTGACTTGAAAGTTACATTTAAATTGTTAATTAGAATGGCACATCTTTTTTTATACGTGTAATATGAAAAAAATGAAAAGAAATGCACAATATAATACATATATACATTAATCTATACAAAATAGATAATATTCACTGATAAACATACTTATATACATAAATTATTCTAAGTTACTTTCCTGTTCATCTTCTACTTCTTCTACTTCTTCTTCTTGTTTTTCTGCTTCTTCTTCCTCCTCTTCTTCTTCTTCCTCTTCTTCTTTTTCTGCTTCTTCTTCTCATCATCATCATCATCATCTTTTTCTTCTTCTTCTTCTTCAGATTCGTTGATATTAGCAATATCGAAAAATTGAATTACATCTCGCAGATATGTTTTTGCTTTTTTCGGCTATACCTTCCTCATACTGCTTATGTATGGATCTGATGATACCAATAAATAGTGGTAAATGTCCTCCATAGTTTTTATCCTAGAAAACATTCTAGAATGATGCTCCCGAAATTTTTTGATATCTTTATTCCGGGACTCTTGAGCTTCTTCACCCAATTGTCCTATTGAAAGGATTGCATGATTAATTATGTCTGCAGACTGAAACAATATTTTGTGGACAGTTGTGAGCATATTGTACCATGGATAAAGTGCCACAAATTTCTGTGCAGTATCGATGCAATACATTTTAAAAGTTTCTATTTTTATTGAATATGTACTAGAAATAGTGGCTAAAATAACGTGAAAACGTTGTATTATTTCTTCATCTAATCCTGTAATGTTTGCAAAGGATGCAGAATTTGTAAAAAATCGGCGAACGGTGTTACCATCGTTAGTGGTACCAAATCCCGATTTTGGTTTGTCTACAATCAAACCTATGTCGGTTCTGAAACATTTCTCTATTCTCTTCTTGTTTTCTAACTCCTTTTTCTTATTATCATCTCCACGAGCTTGCCATTGACAAATACTTAACTTATACGATAAATGTAATAAACATTCAAAAAATCGAATCTACGCATGTAATGGAGATATGCAAAGTTGTAATGCTGATTCGTTGCTAATAGTTTGATGCAGTACTAAATCTATATTAATCTATATTGCTAAGACCTTTAAATTGAAAGAATAAGAATCCGGTACCGGTAAAGCGCAGTACTCGACGCTCTATGTCATAAACGTACTGCACCATTAGCCGGGCGGTTTATAAACAAATCATGATAACTCATAAGATCGCAATTTATCGCAACTAAATTAAGCAGAAACTAGTTCATTAATGTTCAAAGTTTCTTTTAAAAAAAAGAAGACCGCTTGATCTCGATTGATGAACAACTATTTTAGTAAAGAAATAAAAAAAATGTACAGGTCTCGTATTATTATCTAGCATAGCTTTAATGACCTAGAAAACGTAATAACACTATAATATATATTAATTTGGAACACGTTAGATTACATCACTACTGATAAATTAGCACCATAATACGATAATGAGTCACAAAATTACTTTTAATTACGATTTAAAAAACCGGTATTATAAAAGTGTCAACTTTAAACTCAAATATCTTTAAGACAATTGCATGTGAAGAAATGTTAGTAAGGGAAAAATATACTCTGATAGTTCATAAATGAAGTACATTGCATAGATTTTTAAAATGAGCAACAAAATTTTTTTACTTTTGTCCACGATTTTCGTGAAATTCGCCACTGTGCGGCGGCCGGAAATTTTAATATAGTCTAACCAAACTGAAATAATTACCAACAAATTCGACGCTATGATTCACCATCTTATGGATGAATCCTTCAGCAGCGAGACCCATGTAACTCCTAAATGAGTCCGTATGGATCTCACTGCCTGCAGCAACGTTTTCTTTAATTAGGGGGATCAAGGTTGCCGCTTCCCGGTATTGAACGACAACCATTCTACAATCGTTAGTCGATGTGTCGACCATGCCAAGTACCCAGTGGCCGTCGAGTATAAATTTGGCCTCATCGATCTGAAATAATATTTAAAGTGTAGTAGTACAAAACAGGAATAATAACAAAATTAATTGAAAACAGTATAAAAATTACCTGTACAACGATTGCAGAACCTCCTTCATCGATCCCGCCTAATTTCGGCTTGCCCGCTTGCATTTTGCAAACGTGGTCCACTATCATCTCCCGACAGTAGCGGAACCACGCTGCAATCGTGTCCGTTGACAACACTTCCTCATCTTCTCCTACGTCGGATACCTCCGTTGCGGTAACCTCGTAGGAGAAGTCGGAAGTGAAGCAATACATAAGCCTTAAAAAAAAATATATATATAAGAACCGATTATAAATTTAATTGAAATTAATAATCAAATGATTGCAAATGAAAATTTACTTTATTGCCTTATGTAAGGGCAGACGGACATCCTGAAAGAAGGAATCGACTGTGGCCGCGTACTGTTTGCAGTTACCGCGGCCAGCAGGGCATCGGAAACGGCCAAGACCGTGTTCCCCGCCTGCGTAAAGCTTCATGGGCCGGCGATGGGTACTACAATTTCTTATAGTACGTAGGAGTCCTTTCTCCCTGGCCCATGAAACAGCCGATTCCTTCGAAGCGGGCAAGCTGCATAAATCATATTAAATGAAATTCATAAAAACACAGATACTACATACAAAATATACAGAAAATTAAAATGTATAAATTATATTAAAGAAAATAACACATAAAATTCAAATACCTGCATAAATTATATTTTATCGTACTCATTATATAGAAATATACAAAAAAACACAAAAAATATAAAAAACACACAAAAAATAAATAAAAGATACAAAAAACACAGCAACAATAAAAGACAGTTCCGACAATAATGCTACCAAGAATATAACAGTTCCATAAAAAAATTGATAGAGTTAACAAATGATACCTGAAATAAATGAACAGATTGAAATTTACGCGCGAACCTTCGTGCGAACCAATCAGAAGATGGGTAGGAGCAACATGGCGTCGTTGTAACCTGTCAAACGTCACTAAATACGTACATTTTTAAACACTTGTATTTCTTAAACTATTGGTTTCCTGGACATTTAACTTGCATTTTCGAATGTTTCAGGTCAAAAACTATAAGATTTGATACTTTTCATCCAGAAATTTTTGGTCCCCCAAGACGAAGTTCAGCCATAATAATAGTCATAATAATAACGGCAATAGTAATAATAATAGTAATAATTATAATAACGGAATTTACGAACCTGGAAATTCAGTCACCTACGCTGCCACCATCACACCATCACACACCATGTGCGCCATATTTCTTTTGTCTCTTTAAATTTTAAAACAATTGAAAAACGCGGCGACAAATTTCGCGGGAACATGACGTCACGATATCTTTAGTTGTGTGTTAAAATCAGTGATACAAGCTATGCATGTAGTGAAGTGACATCAGCGCCTCCTGGTAGTGAGGCGTAAACCTAAAATTTGCATCAAAATCACAAGAGTGGAGCTTGGAGGGCCTGCATTTATCCAAGCGAGGTGTCGATTCTGCGTCCGTACACATGTTTTGTATTCAGCCGAGATGCCGATTCTGTGTCAGTACACATGTTTTGTATTCAGCCGACATGCCGATTCTGCATCCGTACACATCTTTTGTATTCAGCCGACATCATTTATATTCAGTCGTGGTGTCAATTCTATGTTGTTTATTCTATTACTATTCTTTATAAATATAATTCAAACTATATCATGTTTGGTGTCACTTTAATCAGAAAAATCTCACAAATGCATTAGTAAAAGTTTCATTAAGAAAAAGTTAAAAATAAAAAAGTTTTATCGTTGAATTAGTATTAGTCACACCGATATAACGGTTCGGATCGTATTCCACGGCTTCCTCGTCGAGCGTCTCGGTTCGCTTAGGGCAGGCCTGTCCAAGTAGGGGAATTCACTCCTGGAACACATGTTTTGGGTCCTCTTCCAACGCTGCTCCTTCAAGTAAAATGGGACGGTTCCGACTACCATCTCTCCGAGGAGACAATACCGCCGCTAGGAAAGACGGAGAGATGGTAGACGGAATTGGAAGGGGACCCAAAACATGTGTTCCAGGAGTGGATTCCCCTACTTGGACAGGTCTGGCTTAGGGGGATCCCCCCAAGTGGAGGGGATAGCGATATTGCATATATCCAGCCAATCTTTCGTTGCTTTCCTGTAAATAAAAATTGTTCAAATTGTCGTTTTCAACTCGTTTTCAACGTATCGTTTTCGAATCGCTGTTAAATGACCAAAGGAAAGTCTGTAAGTGTATAGGGTTAAGAATTTTTCCTATAAAAAAAAGTACTGTGATATGGTATCTGTAGTACTTTTTTTTTTATTAGCCGGAGGGGAAATACATTTACGTACGCGCGGGTTGGTCCCTTTCGCACTACATATTCGGCTAGGGTTCGCTCGGGTAGTACCTGTAGTACAGTAAGTCCTTAAAGTCTTAAATCCTCTTTTTAACTCTTTCTATAATTCACTTAAATCTGTAAAAGACATTTTTTTAATTTTTATTACAGGCACAGATAAAGAAGTTACAAAAAATATATACTGATCGAATTGAGTAACCTCCTCCTTTTCGAAGTCGGTTAAAAAAGCGATCTTCACCATTTCCTTCATGATTTTTTTATTTCTAATATTTTAGTTTTACAAGATATGCAATACCAATATATACTCTTAATGTTTATTATTGTTATCACATACATATGTATGTGAATCCTTATCCTTATCCTTATCCTTACTAATATATAAAAGTGAAAATGCTGATCGTTTGTCCTTCCTTCACGTTTAAACGGCTAAACAGATTTTAATGAAATTTGCACTATTGGACAGCTTATTCTTTCAAGATGGACATGGGTTATGTCATATTGCGATTCATTATGTTTTTGACTAACAAAGGAGCATTAAAGAATTGGTTTAGTAATACTCGGCATTGCAACTTAGGCCCCATCAGTATACTACACTCATAATATGTATACATTTATCAGTTTTTTTTTTTTTTTTTTGGGCATTCGTTTTCTTATTCATGTCGTATTAGATGACAAAGAAATATTTGTCATTAAAAAAAAATGCGCCTTGCATTTAATAGTATTTCTGTTTGTATTAAAGTCTGTTTTAGCTGATTTGTTTTCCATTTTTAACATTCAATTTAAAATGAACTGTTGGCGAATTTACGAAAGTGCTCTTTAATTGTTGGGGACGTTACGAGAACACCGTCGAACACTTTCCAACCGTCACTGCTGTTAGTCTACCGAAATATCACTCTCTCCCCACCTATGATCGTCACCTTCCTATTAATTGGCTACATCAATCGCGGCGGGGATCACGGGCTGCGATCTGTATAAATACGCGAGAATTCGTGATCATTCCTATATTTTATGAGTGTAGCATACTGAGGGGTCTTGGTGGCAATGCCGAGTATTACCAAACCAATTCTTGAATGCTTCTTTGTTAGTCAAAAAACATAATAAATCGCAATATGACATAGCCTATGTGACGTAAACGTGAAGAGGAACAAACGATCAGACACTTTAACTTTTATGTATTAGCAGGGATAGGGATAGGGAAGTAGGGATAGGAATAAGGAAGTAGGGATAATAATAGTTGATTAAAATTCCCGGGCAGAACCGGGTAGCGCAGCTAGTGATTACATATATCAATTATAATCACATTGCTAAATTGGATAATTTATATATTAACTGCAGGAACCATGCATATTATTACAATGTTACCAAAATATTTAAACAAAAATTAGCTATTGATTGATAATTCTATCGCAAACATTGATCTTCTTGATAATATGTATTACTCTTTGGTAATTCTTTAGTTTCTTTCAGAAACAATTATAAAAATAAGAACTATTATAAATACAGAATATGAAATTAATTCGGAAAATTGCATTTGTACCTTCATTTTGTGTTTAATTAATATAGGATATTTTTAATAATAAAAAGAATCAGTTTTCTTTAAATATATTAGGTAATTAATTATTATAAAAAATACTGCAATACTCTATTGTTGTGTGCAAACTGTTCTGTGTAAATACAATCAAACAGTTATAAATATTTTAAAAAATAACATTCAATTGATTAAAATTAAGTAAAATTATAAATGTAAACAGTATAAATAATTACAGAATTGAAAACGATAATTTATGTTATAATTCTGTAGAATAAAGGGATTAATTTAAATAATATTGAACTGTTTTAAAATTGTTTCTTAAAATCATCAAGATGGTATCATTTTTAGTACATCACCTAACTCATCTGCATAATAATCCGGAACTATGCAATTTTTTAAATCTACATTAGGTGCATTCATAGCACCTACTTCATTTTTTGTAGTAACACCCGTTAATACAAGAAGAGTTTTAAACCCACATCGTTGTCCAAAAAGAATATCCGTGGAACAACTGAAACAAAATAATTATATTTTCTTAAAAATATAATAAATCAAATTAAAGCATCATTGTGTTAACAATATGGTATTTACTTATCACCAATCATAAGTGTCCTTTCAGGTTTTAAACCATACTTCTTTGTTATATATTCAATTAGGAAAGATTCTGGTTTTCCTAGCATCACTGGTGCCCTGTTACATGCTGCTTCTATGCATCTTATGAAGCATCCAGTTCCTATAATATAAAACATAAATGTATCGAAACTTTATAAAATAAAACAATCTGATAAACAATTTCAAGTAAATATTTCCTTAACCTGGAAATCTATTAGTATTTGGGGAAGGTCTTTCTGTATCACAATTTGTTCCTATGAAATGAACGCTTGGATCTTGTAAATAAGTAGCAGCTTTTGCAAGCTTAGGAAAACTAAAATATTTGTCAAAGCCTACAATAACTGCTCCAACTTCCGGATCTGGCTTAAAATTTTTTACCAATTCCACCTCATCGCCATCCATGATATCAGGCTAAAATAAGTACAAATATCCTATAGTCAGTTTGTACTAAAACACATGGTTAACTGAAAAATTGTAATGTAAAATACTTACTCCTATGCCACAATGTTTAATATTTACTGCTTCAAGCTCCTTAGTAATACCAATACTGCCAACTACGTATGCTTTTTTATCAAATTTTTGTTCTTTAAGGTACACAGCAGCTAAATACGAAGTACACACTATTTCATCCTAAAACAATGATATGAATATGTTCTATACAATATGCATTATGTTTATTGTTAACTCAAAATAAAAATGAATTTATTAAATTTACCATTGTTGCGTCATACTTGAGATTTTTACACTTTTCTATAAATTCAGATCTGGTTTTGGTATTGTTATTTGTTATGTAGAAAAACTTTTTACCCATTTGTTTGAATTTATTTACTGTCTCAGGTGAATTCTGTATTACCTCTGTTTCTCTCCATAGTACGCCTAAGGTTTACTAAGATTAAAACATCATTTATCACATTTTATATAAAATTATTCATCTATCATTTATTATTCCTGCGTTGAAATATTTCAATACTAAAAGCATAATATATAGATGACAGAAAATAATCACTTTTATTTAAAAAATTTATATGTCAGAAAAAAATAAATAATTACTTACCATCACAATCTGATAAAATCACATCAATCGATTGCATGAAATTGTTAAATTCTTCCTGAGATAATGACGTTATGTGTTTCGCTGTCATTTTGAGAGTACTAGCAGACACGAGTTTTCGAAGAGAAATGTAGTTAACTTTAACTTTGCATGGAGAATACCCTCTTTACCAATTAACCACTGTAAGAACTAAAAAGAGAATGTGAAATAGAGAACCCTGGCTGAGAGCCACGCATTTGAAGCGTGTCCTTGCGTGCTTGTTATGTAATATATACAGGGATATAAATTGTTCCTATTTCATTCATAAGTACCAATAAATATAATTGATGATTACGCTGTATATAGATATATTACTACCGGTATAAATAAAATGACATTTTGCTTCGTTTATTGCAACATTTCATTTATCGTTTGCGAAATTTATTTTACATAAAACTATATTTTACATAAAATTAAATGTTTAAAAGCAAATGATTAATATTTAATGTTATAAAATCTATTGAAACTAAAATTTTTATGTTATTATTATGTATGTTTTAAGAAATCATTGATTTCTGTGAAAAAATCAAAAGTATACAGTGGGTTACAAAATTATTCGCTTACCGTTTAAAACAGAATACAAATGACGTAAGGTTTCTCGAGAAGCTATACAAATTAATTTACTAATGTAAGATATGTGCATTTGTTGTTTTAAAAAATTACAATTTATCGAAATTGGGAATAAAAAGTAGAAGGCAATTTTTTAACTTTTTTATTTGAGCCTGTAATGAAAATTTAAAATATAACATTTGCAAATTTAAATATGTTATGTGTATGCTGAAAATGTCATCGAGATGCAATGCACTGAGATTCACTGAAATTTTCAACATACACATAACATACTTAAATTTACAAATGTCATATTTTAAATTTTCATTACAGGCCTAAATAAAAACGTTAAAAAATTGCCTTTTACTATTTTTTCCCCGATGTCGACAAATTGTAATTTTTTAAAACGACAAAAGCACATATCTCAGTAAATTAATTCGTATAGCTTCTCGAGAAACCTCGCGTCATTTGGTCCAATTTTAAATGGGGTATTCTGTTTTGAACGGTGAGCGAATAATTTTATAACCCACTGTATATGTGTTTACTTGAACATGCATAGGAACCAATCAAAGCCGATAGATGCAAAGTGAACAAAAATAATCATTCAACAGATCTGTTTCTACGTAATCATAAATGTATAAAGTGTATCCCAAAAATAATGTATGTACAATCGGAAAACTACAACTTTATCACGTAAAAATAAATACAAAATTCCTTTATCGTTTTGTAATTTGAGGCTTCATTTTCGAAACATAAGCGATTGAAATCGATTTCCGACGCGCACACTTTGAACAGTTACCTACTGAGCAAGTGAGATAAAAAACACTTGTTCGCTTATTGTATTACCGGAAACAGGATACACCGGTTCTTTAATAGTTTACAAAAAATGTTCAATAACTCAAATTCTATGACTTTTCGCAGCTTTACAAGTTTATTATATAATTAAAATTTAATTTTAATTTATTGTTTAAATGAATAGCTTCCATTCTAATAACATTACTTTAAACATTTTTGGCTTGTTTATCAGACAAAACTAATGCAGAGTTTCACTATAAGTACAAATGTATTTATTAAACCTATCTGACAATACAGTAATTTGAGAATTTCGTACAAGTGTACATACCTGGAGTACTCGCCGTTACAATTCGGATGAGACGTTATTGGTGGAAATATCAAGAAATCGGAATGTTCTAATTACGGATTGCAATTACTCTAATTGCATTTCTTATCAATGCAACGTTCATTTAAAAGATATCGTTCTAACAGAAAATAAACAAGTTATATTTCTCTTAAAAACAATTATCTGGCCTTCAAGTAGAAACTTACATAATAAAAGTTTATAACTTTCAATGATACAAAATCAGTTTTTCAAATAAAATGAATATTATTACAACAAGTCAATTCTTCTAAATTAAAAGTAGGAAAAAAGGGAATTCAATTCGACAAATAGTTCTCTATTGTAAGATAAAAATTCATAAGTACAGCCTGTAATCATGAAAATAAGTAAAACTTGCAAAATTCAAAATTCTATACTTTTTAAATAAAAACTCAGCAAAATAATGATTTAAACTTTCCATAATTTTATTTGGAATAAAATTGCTGGTATCGATGTCACAAATAAGTCGAATCGACGTGGAATGAGTCATTGAATCACTAACAATCCAACCACTGAATTTTTCAGTTACTGTTATACGTTAAACAATATATGATAGCGCTAATGTAATTTTAATCTCATTTTTAGTCACAATTTTATTTTATATTATTCTGTGTTATAATTTTAATTTCAATTTTAATTGTAAGTTGTACATAATATCTCTAAATTAAGATTATTTTCACGTTTCTGTTTTATGTTAAGTGCAATATTAGTATCAAAAGTGTGAAAAATATAAATTTAATGGAGATTATAGTCCTTGAATGAATTTGTTAATAATCTCATTTCTTTCAATAAATAGAGAAATCCTATTCATGTATTTTCAAAATTTGAAATAAGATTGGGATTAAAGACAGCTTATGTTGTCTAATTGTAAGAATTAAATATATGGGCATTCTCTTATTTTCACATGCCTCTCTCTTTTAATATGCACCTATAGAATAACATGATACATATTGGCTACTTGCTTGGCTGTCAACTGTTCAAAATGAAGGGAATCTGTAGTTTTTCTATAATATGTTTTTTATATACATACTATGTTTAAAACAACCAGTATACAAGGTGTATTATAATATGGAAAATCCATTTCAAGAATAGTCAGGAGATACAAAAACAATAATACATGTATTCTGTTTGATCTTGTATCAAAGTTATAAAAATTTTGTGTTTCAACAATTCACAACTGCTTACTTTCATAAAAGATTCAAAGAAGTTACTCTTAACCTATACTTACAAGCTAAGCTATGTATCTTCTGAATATTTTCTGACTTTATTGATTGAGTTCGCTCATTTTAGTTTGTTCTCTTGCTAGAAACTCTCAGAAATAACTTGCTAGAAATTCAATAACTATGTCAATGCTATGTGTTAAGTTAAGAAGTGCGTAATTCTATAAATATGCAGTTGCAAAACTGCCTATAATTTTGAAGCTAAGTCAAGTAAATTTTTATATGAACTTCTTTCATTGTGTTTGTTTTCTTACCACTTCTAAAGTGGGTCCAACATATTATGATATACTCTGTATATACAGGATATAACACTAATTGGCATACCACTGAATTTTTTAAGAACCTAATGACTATGTTATGCAGGGATACCTGTACATGTGTATATGCAGTTGTTGTATATATATTTTCAATAAATACAACTATTTTAAGTAATAATATTTTAATCACACTATCAAACTAGTGTGCAGTTTTATAGAAAACAATGTTATCTATATTTAATATTACATTGCAGATTTATTCTTAAATTTTTCTAAATGAGGTAGCAGATCCCCAATTGATTCAATATAGTAATCAGGAATGAAATCTTTTTCTTCTGAACACTCTGATCGTTTCCACCTATTCACATCTTCCAAACTAGTTATTCCTGTTAAAACCAGCAATGTCTTAAAGCCACAACGACGTCCTAATAATATATCTGTATTATGTCTATCTCCAATCATCAATGTACGTTTAGGATCTACTTGAAACCGTTTCATAAGTACATCTGCTAGATAGGGCTCTGGTTTTCCCATTACAACAGCTTTCCTTTCTGCACAACTTTCTATACATCGCACCAAACTTCCAGTACCTATTTAAAAGGAAATTATTCTCAAAGTTCAAATTTCAAGTAATTTACTAAAAAAATTAAATTTATGTACCAGGTATAACAACATTATTAGCAACAGGAAATCTTTCGTCTGTATTTGTAGCAATGAAATGTACATCAGGATCGCTTAAATATGAGGCTGCTTTTACCATCTTAGGATAATTAAAGTGCTCATCAAAACCAACTATAACTGCTCCTACATCAGGATCCTTGATAAATGTAGTATATGGACCATTTTTATTAACAGGATCTGGTCCTACACCAATGTGTGAAATACCAACTTCTTCCAATTCTTTTCCAATTGCTATAATAGAAATAATTCTATATAATTATTACATATTGAAATGTAATCTTTAGTAATATAGCTATATAAAAATATAGAAGAAACAATTTTTACCTTCAGATCCTATGATATATACTTTCTTATTAAAACCTAGATCTTGCAAATAACATGCAGACAGATTTGCAGTACACAAAATCTCTTCTTTCGATACTTTGAAATTTAAAATTTTACATTTGTTTACAAATTCTTCTCTAGTCTTTGTACTATTATTAGTTACATAAAAGACTCTTTTACCAAGAGAACGAAAAGCATTCATCACTTCCGCTGCATTTGGTAAAGGATTCATGTACATCCAAAGTACACCTAGGAAACATAAAATTAGTAGTGCTTTAAACTATATTGTTTTAAAAATATATTAAGCACGTGACTTACCATCACAATCAGTAAGTACGGTGTCAAAAGAATGAAAAAATTTGGTTACATTTTCATCGTTGAGTGTATTAAAATCTATTGCAGCCATGCTATAAAACGTAAGTTTTAGTACAGCAAATTGTAAATAAATTATCATATAAACATTTAAATTTTATTCATAGATTAACATATGTAACAAAGATCTGTATTATAAAAATGTATAAAGTTTATTTTTAAAACATGATGAATGAACATAAAGTGATAAAGATCTGTGTATCATGCAAAGAAAAAATAAAATTCAAAATTTTATTTTAATGATATCCGGAAGTACTTAGATTCGTTTCCGATCAACTCATAATTGATAGGGTGGGACCTATCAGACTTCAAGCAGGTTTTATTTTCTTTTTAAAATCTAACTTGACTAACGTTTAAATAAAGTAATAAACATAACCAACTAGTACTATCCTTTTCTTTTTATTTTTTTTTTATTTTCATTGTATATAGATCTCTAAACACATGTACGGGGTCTTGTAGGCCCCGCTACATTGTCTAAATCCTTGACAAAATAATCATACCAGTTACGAGTTAAATAGTCCCTAAAGAGTGTTGTTATTTTGTTAAAATATTTTATGTTCCTGTTAAACTAATAAATTATTATTTTTAGAAATGTTCAATTTCTTTAATAAAGATTACACTAAATAATGAATTGTTAAAAAAATAATTAGTTTTGTTTCTAATATATAGGTTAGTTTTAAATAAATTTCCGTCAATATAACTTACTATTTATAATTTTGCTTATATCTTAGTTTCAGCAGTACTAATGATACTATAACCCTAATCTCTTTTACTAACAATATCCGTAAAACTCACGTTTTTTAATAAGATTCAATTCTTTATCTATATAGTCCAGGAGTTATAGATTTTTTTTTCTTACCTTGCTATTTCCGTTCGTGCGATTTTGAATTTTAAAAATAAATCTATTATATGACACTAACAAATAAGTTAGATTCAAATTAGAACATTAATTTTATAATTATTTTTAATTAATTAAACAATGAGCGTTGAAGCAATTGTACAATTCAACGATTCTAATTTGACAAATGAATTTAATGACATGTAATATTCATGAGAAAATGATTTATATAATAGATAAATGCTTAGACGTAACTGATTATCATTCAGACATTGAATAATCGGAAGTTTTATCAGTATTGTACAATATGTTCCGGGGCATTCTAATCAAACATTATACATATTATGGAATAAGAAAAAGATGTTATATAAATATAAGCCATTTATTAGAGAATTATAATACAAATATAAATTACGAATCTTATAAACGATTTTGAAAAAACTGAAAAGTAAAATTTAGTGTGTATGAAATAAATTATTCTAATCGGATAACAGTTTTTTTTTAGTTTAAAGTTCTATATGGAAGTCACCTTGGATTCTTTTCATAAGTTTATATTTCTTTTTTTCCTGATGATATTTTTTAAGGTCAGGAAAATGAACTATAAATATTCATCTTGCATGGTATGTCTTGCAATACTTTATTTGATGATTCAATATTAATAACAATTTCTCTTTAAGTGAAAATTTGTTTAAAACTTTTATAGGGTTTCACATAAATATGAATTTTAAAACCAAATTTTTAAATATACAATAATATGTTATTGGATTTTTGACCTTGAATAATATTAATTATGCCACAAATTGTTTAAAAAATCTCTGGCGCTACCAGTTCAAGCTTAACTGCGTTTGCGAAATTTAAAAAGATTCAATTTTACAGCACAAAATATCTGTTTTATTATTATTGTTCTTGTTTTTGTTCTTGTTCCTGTTCCTGTTCCTGTTCCTGTTCCTGTTCCTGCTCCTGCCCCTGCTCCTGCCCATGCCCCTGCCCCTGCCCCTGCCGCTGCTCCTGTTCCTGCTCCTGCACCTACTCCTGGTCTTGCTCTTGCTTTTGTTCTTATTAAGTACAGTGGTACCTCGGTATACGACCTTAATAATCCGTTCCGGATGTTTGGACTTATACCGAATAGGACGTATACCAAACAAACCTTTCCCATAAGAAGTAATGTAAAAACGATTCATCCGTTCTCATGTAAAAAAAACTCCTATTGATACTATACCGATATTATGGGGTTGTAAAATAATTTAAACACAGTTTATGTCATGAACAGCATTTAAACGATTTCCTAGAAATTTATAAAAAATATTCACTAGTATATTTAACATAATTAGTTTGTAAAATATAAATGTAACCTAATGACAGATTCTAAATTAACAAACCAAATGGAATAAACTTTATTGCCTCCTATTTGGCGGTTATACAGGGTGTTCGACAACAGGTGGAAAAAATTTTAAGGGGTGATTCTAGGGACTAAAATAAAACGAAAATCAAGAATAACGAAATAGCGTTTGCGGCTTTGTTTTCCAGTAATTAACGTTTAAAAATTCGAGTAAAAAGCGCCTGAAACCTGCAGTCCGCCCAGCACCGACGACTGACGAGGAGAACTAACCAAGTGTTACGCTCATTTATTAATGAAACTTTGCCACCTTGTAGAGCTCGTCGCCCTGAACACGCCTATACCCCATTTTGGGAGCAGACGGCTAATTGTTTAAAAGATATTAACAATTAAAATTAGTTACTTCTTACATTGAGAAGCATGACAAACTAACACATATAAATGCTTAGCATATAAATGCATATGCATATAGACGCGTGTAAATTTTGAATGCGGTAAGGGTGTTAATGTACGTATTGGATAGAAATTCTATAAAAATTTCAGCACATGTAATTAATTAGCTATTAATAAATGCAATGATTATAGCACAGTTGTAATAGTTATTCAAAAGAGACAAATTATCATTAAAAAGAAAAAAGAAAAAAATGTTGGGAACCATGAACTTGAACCGTGGACAGTTAGATTACGAGTCAAGCGTTTTACCGCGGAGCTAAGCATTTATATGTGTTAGTTTGTCATACTTCTCAATGTAAGTAGTAACTAACTTTAATTGTTAATATCTTTTAAACAATTAGCCGTCTGCCCCCAAAAGGGGGTATAGGCGTGTTCAGGGCGACGAGCTCTACAAGGTGGCAAAGTTTCATTAATAAGTGAGCGTAACACTTGGGTAGTTTCCCTCGTGAACATCAGGTCAGCAGGGGAAGGTACAGTCATAACCAAGAATCATTGAATAGTAGAAACTTACCTCGGAATACCTCGTGCTATTCTGTTTCACGGTGCTGCAACATTCGGCTTTCTCTTCTTGGTTATGACTGTACCTTTCCCTGCTGACCTGACATTCAGACATCGGTACTGGGCGGATTGCAGATTTCAGGCGCTTTTTACTCGAATTTTTAACCGTTAATTATTCGAAAACGAAGCCGCAAACGCTATTTCGTTATTCTTGATTTTCGACTTATTTTGATCCCTAGAATCACCCCTTAAAATTTTTTCCACCTGTTATCGAACAGCCTGTATTTTGTTACATGATATCCTTACTTGTATGATCAGTCAGTTAATAAAACATCAACTCCGAATATAATTGATTATTAATTTAATTTTTCCTCTGACAATGAGATAATTATTTAAAAATGACGCAAAATTCACATAAAAAATTTATGTCGTATACCGAAAAGAAATCGTACACCGAGCAAAATTTGTCACGTTCAAACAGGACATGTTCTAAATTGAACGTATTCCAAAGCAGACGTATACCGAGGTACCACTGTAATTTAAATCAAGAATCCGAGAAAAACCATCAGTGAATGTGATAGAACTCCAGGAAGATAGAACGAAGTTGAATTTGGGTAAAAGCAAGGAAATAATCATTATGAATTCGTATGATAATCCGTTTTGCGCAACTTCGACGCAACCAGTATGACATTCGACAAATATTGAATCAGAGAGAAAGCGAAAGAAGGACGGACATTTAAATGCGAGAGAGAGAGGAGATTATGCCCCTATGTTCTTATGCCTCATGGTGTGAGCGACTGCCTGACTCCGAGGTACGGTTTGAACGATCTTTAAAGGGGTAGACACGGGTAATGCAGCGAAGTGACATTACCGGCAAAAATAGGCCTAAAAAGGGGTCCGGGATTTTTCGTTTTTCGTCCTTATATGAGAAGATTTTGGCCTGGGTGAGGGCTCAATCGAAAGAGGAAGGTTCAATGCAGGGCGGTCAACTCGTCGTCTGAGTCACAACACTCTTTTAGTGGCTTAAAAATGCTTCGATTCCGTGACTGCATTTTGTCGATTTTTTCCTCTACTTTGGACACTCATATTATTAAATATCGACACAATCTCGTTCAACCATGAGTTGACCGCCCTGCACTGGACCTTCCTTTTTCGAATAAGCCCGCACCCAGTCCCAAGTCTTCTCATATAAGGACAAATAACCGATTCCCGTAAACCCATTAATAGGCCCATTTTTGCCGGTAATGTCACCTCGCTGCATTACCCGTGTCTACCCCCTTAAAGATAGAATCCCATTAATTTCAGCGTAGTAAAATGTTGAACAATATAATCAGTCTTTTTGACACACGATCATCGTATCTAAATCAGCGTAAGTGATGGCGCGATAATTAAATCCATCGTCCTCTAACATTAATACTCGCGTTCTTCTATCCGAATCTTGACGATCTTATCAGTAGTTTATCAGTAGTTATACAGTGATACTTCGGTATACGTCTGCTTTGGAATCAAAGTCAAATTCAGAATACGTCCTGTTTGGATGTGACAAATTTTGCTCGGTATACGACTTCTGTTCAGTATACGACATACATTTTTTGTGTGAATTTTGCATCATTTTTAAATAATTATCTCACAAGAAAAACTAAATTAATAATCAATTATATTCGGAGTTGATATATTATTAACTAACTGATCATACAAGTAAGGATATCATATAACAAAATATGGGGAAGGTTGGTTTGGTATACGTCCTACTCGGTATAAGTCCAAACATCAGGAACGGATTAAGGTCGTATACCGAGGTACCACTGTATTACATTTCTGGTGGACTCAGATTCTTTTTACAATCAATTATCTTGATCAATTTTGTTCGGTGGAGGTATATGTACACCGGTAGTCCTCACTTTACGACTTATCTGCTTAACGACCACTCGCACTTACGACCAATCAAGTTTCGACCTGCAATTCGGGGAATCCCCTTTCTCAGCTTAAGTGTCGGTCAGTGGCGAATGGTGACATGCGCACTCGTGAGCGTACTATAGGCTTGCTATGCACGTTTTCAGTCAGTTTCATTTAGTTTCATTCCGACAAGCAGTCAGTGTGTAATCTCGTTGATGTATAATTTTTATAATTTTATAACGATCCTATATTCCCGGCGCAAGCTCCTCGCTTATCGACCAATTTGCTTAACGACGTAGTCGTCGGAACGGAACTTGGTCGCAAAGTGAGGAGTACCTGTACTTAAATCCCAAGATTATCATAACCTATAGTCCGTCCAACGAAGCGAGTCAGTAAATGTAAACAAAACAGCTGCGTGGTGATCACGCGATGAATGTTAGCGGCTCTTACTATTGGCTGTCAAGGGTCGAGTTCAGGGCCAACTTTCGGCGGTCTCTTGCCGTGGGCTCTTGCTTAGAAAGGCAGGGGGGAACTTCGCATTTTTCAAA